ATATATGAATCATATTGTCACATTTCCTGTAATTGGAATAGCAATTTATCGAATACAAATTACAAATAATGGAATAGAAATAACAAGTAATCAAATAGGAATCGCATTCTATAGAATAAGAATGTTTTAGAATAAGAATAATCTCATTCTCAAGGTTATGGTCCGAAAGCGATCAAGCCGAGACAGTCTACTGACAAATAAGTTAATTGTTACAGGGATTTCAACAAGTTATTTAAAGTCAGCATTAATTACATGCTATGGTCACTATATTGCTCTTTTCACAAATATAACCTATCATTGGAATCATTTTGGTCGATGTGTTTCATTCTAATTTTTAGGCTATGAATTTTGTTATTTTTATACTGAATTTGACTAGATGGGATGTTCCACCCATCTGATAAATATATATAGGGCTACTTTCTAGATTGCAGATTTTTAAGATTTTATGCCCTATTTGTTGTTTTGTAGTTATTTATGGATGCCATGGATTTTGGAAAGTATTGTCAAAAATAAAGGTGTCATGCTTGAAGATAACTAAAACCGTGCACTGTTCAAAATGTACATGTATACACGGGGTGATACTGTATGTTTATTTCTATTATTCTTGAAAAGGGAAAAAAATTGAAACCGAAATATAAATAAAGTGATACTGATAAATCCCGTAAAACAACTTCCCAGCTAAAAAAAAATGTTCAAACTTTGAGGTGGGGTCAAAATTCAACAGGGTCAATTTTCAACTTGTTGACGTCATCAGGTGTAAGAAAAAAAAAATCAAGCTGTTGAAAAATGGCCCCGGGTATAAATTCAACGACTTTTGGTCTCAATATTCAACGTTGAAAAATGACCCCGGTTCAATATTCAACGTCGAAAAATGACCCCCGGGTCAATTTTCAACTCGGGTCAATATTCAACGTTACACCGGTGAAGGGCTTCAAATTTTGACCTTTACTCGGCACTCAGGGCCATTGAGCAGTGAGGGATCTTTATCGTGCCAACGCCTGCCGCTGACACGGCGTCTCGGTTTTTAAGGTCTCATCCGAAGAACCCGCAACTTTCACTTCAAAGTGGCGAGCGCATGGCGAAGGAACAGTTGCTACCAATTTTAACGACTAGGTCAGTTGCGGCCGAGATAAGAACTCACGACCTCCCGATCACGGAGAAGAAACAGCTTTGTAATTTTATTTAAAAAAATTATTAATCAATATCTTATATAGATATCCAAATGGCTGAAAGTACAGCTACATTATGCATACGTACATGTATAGTTATACAATTTACAACACCATGCATATATAAACAATGTGTAATGTTATATAAAATTTATTACATTATAAGGAGCAAAACATTTAATTGAAGGATTTAAAAATTTACACATTACATTGTATCTTCATGACCAATGCATTGAATCCTATCTTTTGACAAACAAAGAGAACAGCATATGGAAAAAGTTTAAATTATTCAGCCACAAATTCATCATGAAAAAAATAAGATGGTATTTTTACATAATAAATATAAAAGAAATTTATTCAAGTGGTGGCAAAAAAACCAACAATATTAAGTATTTGAACAGAGTTATATGAAGTTTTACTAACAGCATGCACAATGAGAAGACTATTTTATCGATCTTAATTACATTATAAACACCAGCTACTGTTTAAAATAAATATAAAGAACAGCTTATAGCTTTGGTCTTTTTTCTACCTGCATTTCTTCATTTCTCAATATACATTTAATATCCAAGGGCTGGGCTTCTTACCCATCAGTCCAATTAAAGTTTTCTTGACTTCTTCATTACTGGTAAGATGGCATGTTTATTGTTTGTTGGCTGCACAGGGTCAATAGGTAATACCTATCAGATTAAAAACATACTTTTAGTTTCACGGTGCAATGGTTATAAAATTTGATATAAGTACTAACCTTTTATAAACTTTCACATATAAAGTTTAGATTCCTCAATTTGATATCAATTTGTTAATAATTAATCAACAGGTGATAAATAATGGCATTTGTGATTATTTTATTGCAGTGATTTTAATTATAGTACAATTTTCTTAGATGAAGCTTTTCCTAAAATAAGAAAAAAAAAAAAAATACCTCATAGATAAAATTTCGTTGACTAGCTTTAAAACCCTGTTAACATGGTTAAGGTCATAATGACCACTTTTTCTCTCTCATCAGAAAATTTACTTCTACAAAAAAATAAGTGGCGGCCGCCAGATGAAATATTTTTCATACGTGGCACCAACGGGCTTCCGTACTTCAACATGTTAAAGGAGAAAGACTAAAATCGTTTACGTTTCAATTTGGTTGCAGTGTTTGTTTGTTTTTTCTAACTCATTAAGTGAAATAAAACAAGATAAAATTAATGAACCTGTACCTAGAAATTTATACCTCAAAATAAATTATGTTCTACAAGTTATTATTAATTTTAAAAAACCCTGATGTAAATAATAGAAATGCCAGAATGAGCCAGCTCTCAATATGCACAGTCTATAGAACTTCCAGGTATGCAAGATCAACAGAATATTTAAGCGCAATTTGACGTCATTTTAATTGTGACGTTATTGTTTCCAATTGTCAAGTGGAATTGGCCTCGTTAAGAGCTGCATCACGTCTCGTTGACAGGCGCGGATCATCAGATAAAACTCGACGCTTTGCGTCTCCTTAGATCTGATGATCTGCGGTTGTCAACTCAACGTGATACGACCCATCGGTTCAAGTTACTGTTATAATAATATAAAATAGACTACCATATTTAAGTAATTTGTACTGCAACTGCTCTGAATTATCCTTAATTCAGTTAATAATTTATTGTTTTAAGTAAACCAATTAAATACAATGAAAAAAAATTGTGGTAAAATGTAAGTAAAGACTAAGTAATACTCTATTGCTTATATACACAAATATAAGTAAATATAAATTACTAAGCTAAACTTTTTTAGAGTCTAAGTTAAACAATTCTTAAAAATGCAAAAAATGAAGGAAAACATTTGAATTAAGTAATTGACATATATTTCAGTAATTAAGTAAGTAAGTAAATGCTTAGTAGTTATATATTACTTATCTTTGTTATTTCAAGTAAAAATGACTACTAAGTAAAACCTTTTAAAGAGTGAACAATTGTCGATGCATTGGCATCACAGGCACTTGTTTCATAAATAAATTTTTAACCCATAGTACTAATAATATAGAAATAAGTTTTCAACATTTTAATTTTCTTCCTGGGAGTCTAATGGAGGAGGATGATAAAAAATTACGGTTATTTTGCTAAAAGGCCCTCATTACTCAACTCTTTTTTACGTCTTACGCAGTGGTCTTATCATCTGTTCGGATATGGTTGTTGCATGATACATGAAGAATGGTATGATTTTCTGTTATAAGCTAGACTTTAGTTCATAAATCCAGGTACATCATGATTAAATATACATGTAATTCACCTAACACCGAAAATTAGTACTCACTGTGAACCCTTGAACTTATCATATGAATGTTAGGTGTGTAGAAACAATTTTAAGTAAGGAACCAGCCTCCACAAATTTTGACAAGCCAAAAAACAAAAGGACGTATTTATCAATAATATAATTATGAAATATAAAAAAAAAACACCACATGCGTGTATCTGAAAGAGTGTAGTGAAAGTATTATCACTGTTGTAATTCGAAAAGGGTGCTTGTTATTTTGGGACTTTTTCCAAAGAGGGCAAATCAAATTATATATGAAAAGAAATCAGATGAAATTGGAGTGTGTACGGATAGGTTTCAAAAGTCGACCCTTTATTATATTACACAAAATAGTGATGTTTCCCATAAACTTGAATTGTCTATTGCATATAGCATCTAAAAACAAGATGTGTGAAACACTATGTGCCCGGTGTCAACAAAGTTCTAAGAGGCTATTTATAGCATATAGGTTAGAGTCAAGGTCACAAGGTCATTGGTTCTAGTGTCATTTGAATGAACCTAATTAGTGGAGTAGGCATATTAAATATGAAGACTCTATCTCCTATGGTTCAAAAGAAATGGTTAAAGTTTGAAAAAGCTATTTTTAGCATAAAGGTCTCAATCAAGGTCGAAAGGTCAATGAACTTTGTGTCATTTGCAAGAACTTAATTAGTGGAGTATGCATACCAGATATAAAGTCTGTATTTCTCTCGGTTTAAAAGTTATGGCGAAGGTTAAAGTTGACAACAGACAGACAGACAAACAGACAGACAAGACAAAATCAATTTACGCCCCGAATAAATCGATTCGGGCGCATAAAAATTTCCAAATTGTCTCACTCGAAAAATTATCAATTTTTTCTATTGACATGAAAACCATTTCTAAATATATTGAGTATTCAGCCAATATATATCTTTTATGCATTTAGATCTATTGAGTCTGAGATTATTATTTGTCAGATACCTTAAGATACCAAAACGAAAGTTACAGAAGACTTGTATAGTTCAAACAAAAAAAAAACGAAATTATAAATTAAAGAAAAACGAAATTATAAAGTAAGAAAACAAAGTTTTTGTGCTTCCATAGAAAAAGACCAAGCAAAGTTAAAGAGAAAATCATAGATAAGTATTAGTACTGCACTGTAGTTCTTAAAAACAAAGTTTGACAATAAATATACATATTCTGTCAATTCGCGATTCAAAGTATTTGTACTTGGAATGTTCACGGCTTTATTATTTAGCAAATATTCAGGATAAGCATAAAAAAAGCCGGAAACCTTCTAGGTTAAATTTTGGATTATCAAAATACAAATGACTGAGACCAGTAATTATAATAGTTGCATCTGCTTTTTTAAACAATTGTTCATTTTGAAAATTAAACATATATTTTGTGAAGCATATTATCGATGTTCAGAAATGTATACTATGTGTCGATTCCTTGATACACATCACTGATATGAATTAAATTTATTTTGACTTTATCAACCACCATACAATTTAACTACATAAATATTCTAATTTTGTATGAAATTTATACTTATGATGATGCACTCTTTTGCAGGCCTAGGACCACCGTATGTGCCTCCAAATTTAGATGGATACCACTTTGTAGTTGAGAATACAAATCTTTCTGTAAACTGTGGCGCAGCTGATAAGAATGCTACTTCTGTTGTGTTTTGGGAAAAGTTAAGCGATGACTCCTTTAAACAGAATGGAACAACAATGGAACTTCTTCACGCATTGAGAAATAGTTCGGGTATCTACAAATGCAACGCAGAAAACTTCTACAGCAATGGCGACAAAAAGACGTCTAGGCAGTATATTCATGTTAAAGTTTTATGTAAGTTAACACTTTAATATTTGACTATTCAAATAGTTATACACTTATATAACTTATGAACAAACCACGTGAGTGGCTTTCGGTTCTTCAAAGATTACTTCAAATCAATCATAATATTTACATAACTTAAAAATAAAGAATGTTCTGTGATAAATCAAAGTCCATTCTTTATCATAAACAGCTGCTATTTCAATAAAAGCGGAACTCATAAATTGACTTACCTTGTCATTGTTCATTAACCAAAATCTCTCGTTAAAACATTTTGATTGCACACACAAGTACTCTGAGGTTTACAATAAACATAATAGAGATGCTTGAGTTTCTGATTGAAAATATCTTCGTAGTTTTTAGAGAACAGGTCCTCCAACAATCTACTGGAATTTCCATGGGTCTCAAATGCGTCCCAATATTAACATGCATATCTTTATATCCACATGAAGCAGATTTTATCCAAAATCTTATGCGTAAAAAAACGAAACACTTGATGTGGGCATCAACTCGATATTTTGGATTATCAACTCGATATTTTGGATTATCAACTCGATATTTTGGATTTATCTACGACGTAGTATCATTTACCAATTGTCATTTCCATTCCTATACCGATACGGTATTTACTAATGAGCTTGAAATATTCACTGAACAGTCAAATTAATTGAAAAATTACTAGTTACATTAAAACAATGCTTTTTAAGTTTTCTGAAGAATCTTTGGTAATCTTAAAGCAAGCAAAAAAATTTTAGTACATATTCGTATACCCTCTGACAAAACTTTGTCTTCTATTTATGTAAAGAATTAGGAATACTAATGTTTGCGTTGTTTAAACCAATCAAATTTTAGTATTTAACAAAAAGTATAATAAACTTATATATCAAAGTAGTCTTTGCTTACCTGACTTTTATATGATTTATATGAGTTGGTTTGACCATGATCTAGGATTTTCTGATCCTTATTCATTAAAAGGCACGAACAGGGTAGCAGCCTCCAAAACTGCATGTTCTGGAACTAATTATTTTTACTAAGCCGCTATACCACCTTTGAATAATTTTGTTATTTACTCGCCATCTCGAAGCAGAAAAGATTTTACAAATCTTCTTTGTTTGTAACAATAAATTCTATTTTTTCATTTTATTTTTTAAAACCTATTTTAATAGGCCAAATTCTGACTAACGTACTTCATAGTAATTCCTATGCCATAATTTACACACTGAAAGTGTGCACGGAGTTTTTCTGTTTTTTTTTTAGGAAAATGACAAGGAACTCAGAGGATTTGAGGACTTTGAATCTGAATACTGTTCGTTTTCTACTATGTCATTAAAAATATTTATTCTATGTCTACATTTAACTGGCTTTCACTTACATAGAAAAGTGCCATAACAAAATTAAAAAATAAACAAAATCCATGACATCACTTTTTACAATAATAAGAGGGAAAAAGAAATATGATCAATTTGCCTTTTTTTTTTTACTACACTTGCTTTAATTTATGTAACACCAGAATATGTATATCATGAAAACCTAAACTATATCATTTCACATTAAACTTAAATAACTTAATGGTTTCAAATTGAAGGAAGTGTACATATGAAATTTAAAAACAGTAATTAGTGGCATATTTAATCCTCTTTTATAATGCAGCTATGTAAGTGTAAGCTTATATTAAGAATATGAAATACATGTGTAAATTAAATATCTTCTTTCAGATGAACCGTCTGTGTCCTCTCTGAATAATCAAACTATACTAGAGGGAGAAAACCTCTCACTCACTTGTAATGTGACGGCTGGATACCCAAGATCCTCTGTAATCTTCTGGACAAAGACAGACGACCCTAGCTTTAGATTTAATGGGAAAAGATTCACTATATCTAGAATACAAAGGAGCAGTTCTGGTACCTATGGGTGTACGGCAGAAAACTACTACAATAGTCTTGGGAAAGGGTCGAGTAGTCAAATAATGACCGTTAATGTTCTCTGTAAGTTTTAATATTCGATTCGATCTCACATGTTCCAGTTGTAAAATAATGCATGGCTACTCTTTAAAACTATATAAGACATAAACTTACATACTTAAATTTTTAAGATTTTAAGATGTTTCAATGATTAACTTATGGGTCGCAGATCCACCGTTAGTGCACGCACCTGACGAACAGAGGGTAATAGAGGGCGCTAATCTCGCAGTCAACTGCAATGTGATGGCTGGGAATCCAAGTTTTTTTATTGTCTACTGGACCAAGCTTGATGATCCCCTGTATAGAAAAGACGGAGCTATACTACAGCTTCTTAACATTCAGAGAAACAGTTCTGGTACATATATATGTATTGCAGAAAACTACATCAATGAAAGTTACATGGGTGTGGCCAATCAGTCAATGCATGTGGATGTTCTTTGTAAGTTTTAGTAACATTTCACAACAATCAATGTTGACGTTTTTAATCAACTACCAATTCTGCTATACTCTTCTCTTGGAGATTAAAAAAAACAACATTTTTCTGATTTCTTTTTTCAGAATTGATTGGCGTCAATTTCATACTTTGATATACTTTTGAATATAAACTTCAGTATCTTATTTATTTTTTTTTAGATCCACCTAGTATAGAGGAAACATCACGTTTTATTGTGAATGAAAGTCAAAAAATAGCATTATCCTTCGCGATCAGCAGTAATCCACTGTCCAATGTCTCCTGGTATAGTGGAGCAGAGTTACTGAAAGTGGAGACATCAGTGGAAACTGCTACGTTAACGATAGAGAAGGCCTTGTGTACAGATACAAAGAACTTTACCCTTATAGCCAGTAACGGAATGCACATTAATGCCACATTTACGGTGGAATTAATTGTCAACTGTAAATTTCAGATTAGTTTTTTAAACAAAATTTTGAAGAAAATAGACTTAAAATAAAATGTATGTTACATACATGTGCAACATCTTTTTCTGATATTAAAATAGTTATAATGCTTAATTGTAGATACTTGTTTAACCCTAGTATCATTAATTATGAATTTTTGTAGGTAAACCACATGAACATCGCAATATTACCTTGGGAATTGCAGATGAAATAGGAATTGAATTTTCAACAACTATAATTGCATACCCGGAGCCTCAGTATGTACTGAAGTATATAAATGGAACTACAAACACTAATATGGCTCGTTTTATATTCAGGAATGCCATAAATAATTTCACAATTTCTTATACCAAGAAGACAGTGCTACAAAGTGATTTTGGAATCTATGTTTTAGAAATTATGAATTCATTTGGGATTTCTAGAATTTTTATCGAAGTAATACCTCGATGTAAGTATTAAAAAACAATTAATACGAAAATTTCTCAAAATATGAGAGTTATCTGGTGAAGTTTTGGACAAGCTTGAAAAATTGGCCAGAGTGAAAAATGATAATCAACATTTTCTAAAAATTTCAGGTATCTCTGTGGCATATGCTATGTCAAAGTTTTTTTTTGTATGTAGGTCATATTAAATTATAAAGCTTAAGATACAATTTCTAAATTAAATGTTGATATTTAGACTGTTTTTAAATGTTTTTTTTTAATTTCATGACAAGTTTGAAAAGCTGTAAATATCAATCTATGTTAAAGATATTTTAAATGAATGTTATAGGGAAACCAAGTAAACCACGAGACATTGAAGCATCATGTTTGGTAACACAGGCAAAGATACGATGGACATCATCTTTTAATGGGGGTTCCAAACAAACATTTACCGTCACTTCATTGAATGACGGCTTTGAATCAGGCTGGTCAAGTCCTATTCCAGATAGGGGATCTAATATTATTCACGAAACTTACATAGGATATCTTCAACCATCCAAATTTTATGAGTTTTATGTTTCTGCTAAAAATATGCATGGTATCACAAAATCAAACAGAACCAGCTGTACAACAATGGCAGGTATATTTTCAGACGATTTTTGAATAACTAATATTGTTGCTTTAGTAAAAACAACTTGAAAGACTTGAATTTTGCAATGAATGTAAACTTTGTGAAAAAATTTTCTGTTGAAATACTGTGTATCACTAAATTTTTGCGACACTCGATTTTGCAAGATAGCCAATACACAATTATCACGAATTCTTACGGAAAAAAACGCAAAAATAACATTCTTTTGAATAAAAAATGTTTCAAGTATATCAAAATTATGTTTCGTATCTTTTAATTAAACAACAATAACTTAAGAGTACTTGTTGGTTCAAATTGCTACATTCTACGAAAACTTCATAAATATCTATTATTAGATATTGTTCTATCAATCTCCATGTCCTTCTTTTAATGTTAGAAGACATGCAATTAAACTTATACACTTGAACCCCTTAAACACACCCTCACACACACGCCCTCAAATATACATGTAAATGCATAAACATTCATGCCCCCATATCTATAATTAATGTAAAGCTTCTAAAGGTTTCAAGATATATTGAGCTTTTTCAGGTATTTCTTCTATCTTAGTGAGTCGCCCGCGTGTCGCAGTGGTTAGAGCTATAAAGTCGCGAAGTAAGGAGTCAATCCTTACGTCGCGGATTCGAATCCCACTGCGGGACCTGGTGACCACTCCTTCCGAGGGCCCGTGTCGCAGTAGTTGCTGGCACGAAAAAGAATCCTCACTGCTCAAAGGCCCTAAGTGCCGAGCATAGGACAAAATTTGTAGCCCTCCACCGGCAAGTGGTGGCGTCTCCATATGAGTGAAAAATTCTCGAGAGGGATGTTAAACAACAATCAATCAATCAAACTATCTAAGTGATTAATTCCGACCTCTAAGACTTTTGATAGATGATATATATTTATATACAGTAATTAAGCTTTCCTAGACATAATTATCACAATATTATTTGTAGTTCTATATTTACCTGAAGCGCCATCGACAGAAGCTCTCAGTTATGAAGTTAAGATTGCGATCGGGAGCTTTGGTGGATCTCTAGTGTTCACTACAATGGTTGTCCTTGCTATCGTCATAGTTCGTCGCTATAAATGTTCCTGCATGATAGGTAATTTTTCCATTGACATGAGCAATTACTAAAAATGATTCAAATACCTTTTATCAAAGATTTTTCAGTGATAAATTTAATTTATTTTTAAGTTCTAAACATATGAAACATAATTATTAAATGTTGTTTTTTGTAGAATTTAGAAGGAGAAACAAGTATGTATCAAACAGAAGTCCTTTTTTATTCATCAATCATGTTAGGAAGTAATGCTTTATCTGATCCCAACTCCGGTGTTTTGGAGGTCCGTATTTGCTCTCTCCTTTTTTTTGTATTGGTTTATTGGACTTTTGATCGGGATTACTGTTTCTAATCTCAATTTGTTTAATTTACTACTACTCAGATGTATTCTTGTAATAATTATCAATATGCAGCATGCATGTAATCTCTTAGGTATTTATTCTCTGTGCTTGTAAATGGAAATTGATACATGTATACGTTCTGCATCTGACGTTTCAGTTAAATAATGAAAGTTCACATCTGTATTTTCCTTTCAAAATCCCCAAATCTCATTCTTTTTGTTGTCCAAACTATAAAATCGCCATCCAGTGCAAAAATTAATCCCCTCTACATTCCAAACAATATATTACTTCAAATATCTACATGTACAGCTATACATGTAATATAATTTAAAAACATGAGAAGTATTTTTTTCATTTAACCTATATTCGACTAAAATATTAAATTATTATTTAAATATACCAGATCAGTTTGAATTTTTGAAATCAAGAATTTTGAACTCATAAACTGACATTGAAAAAGTCAAAATAATTTAAGAAATTTGAATTGTGAAGTATTTCACGGACCCTTGTGCACATTCAAACTTTAAGTCTAATTTGATGACACTTTATCGTATTATGTGTGGTTATATAAAGTAGTGCACATATAAAAAACAATATGTTGTATTTTTCTTGAACTGTTTTTATCTTATGCATCAATTTCACCGTAAAAGGAACTATGATTAAGATTTCATTATTCTGAGATCATTATTTATATTGAATAGGTCATTATTTTTCTCGTGAAAGCTTTTTGAATTCCTATTTCATTATTCCATTATTTAGCAGCATTTTCTTGAGTCAATATTGAGTCTGAAGGTCTTTTAACGAACAAAAAAAAAATCCAGTATTCTTAAAAAGGTAACTATAATAATGAAAAGATTTGCTTTATTCTTTTACATATGGTGATATGAATTTGATTGGTTTCACTTATTCTCCCACTCAAGATTAACTGACTTATTTATTAGAAAAACAATAATTTTATATCTTCAAATTTTCAAAAGGATGCATTTTTAACATTTTTAAACTCAACATAGCATTCCAGGCAGTGCATTCAAGATACTGGCAATGAACATTTTAATTACAGAGAGGGGAAAGAAGAATCAACACAAGAAGAGAATGAAAATCATTATGAGGAGCTAACTGGTAAATATCCATCGGAATTTAGGAACATATTTGATATACGAGTACAAGTAATGGTGACATGTGATTTGTGTATATTTTTCAAACCTTGACATGGTTTATTGTTCATTATTTCATTTCAAATGTTTCAGATATACCCAGAAGGTAAAACAAAGTAAAGAAAAATGAAATTTAAACTCTGAATCTCTCTCTCTCTGAAATAATATACGATATAAAATTTATTACTGCAGATAACTTTTTATTTTAATTAACATGTTTATAGGCATACTTACCAGAGTTTAGATCGGTACAATGGAAAACACGTATATGAGAACCCCCAAAGGTTTCGTGAATAAAAAGGTATTTTAAATTACCTATTATCTATGGTACACTTGCCCGCAAAATAAACTACTGTCTGCTCATGATATTGCCTGTATACTACACAAACATTGACGTCAATTTATTCCAATCCAGTTCTATAAGAACGTCCACCAATCCTTAGGGACGTTCGATCCTGATATTTTGAGCGTATTTCGCGCAGGTCCTCTTTTCATAAAATTAAGCATCATTTTTAGGTTCTAACAGTAAAACTGAATTCTACAATGCAAATTAAACTATATTCAATGAAAAAACCGCGATTAAATTCCATTCAAGTAGAATTAAGCTAGGGACTATATTTTGTGGCGGAAGGTTTTTTAGACGAAAATGGTCAGTTTTTTCTATTTGAACTAGAACAGTACTGTTAATTTTGGATGCCTATTTTTCCATGCTGGTTGCACACAAAGCTGTTTTTTGCAGTGAAATATGTTATGCTGGTTCTGAAATATCTATTAAATTATTTTTTATGAATTCTATCAACAAAGTGTGACAAATATAGCTAATATTTTTGAAAATCCGGGGGAAAATTTAGCCAATTTTAAAGTAAAAATCACACTTTTTTAGTAATATCTGAAAATGTACATCATATACCCCCACTTTTGATGTTCTTTTCTAAATATTCAAGATAACTTTGACCTATTTGCTTAAAATCAGAAAAAGTTTAAGACTTAAAAATAATTTTCTTGCTTATTATATTTTCAATGCCTTAAAAATAACATTTTATTAGTGCAGAAAGGTCAAATAATTAATTATGCGAAGCAATTTGAAACTTTTTCTTAGTCACAGTTTTTAAGTGTCTTTTATTAAACAGACTTAGAGTTCATTTTGTTTCATGCTTTAATTGGATAAAAATATTGGAGGGAAAACGTCGAAGGTGTAATTTTTAATTAAGACACAAATTTCAGTGCAGAAAGGTCATATTAAATGTACTGTAGCGCTAAAAGAAGCATATTGACCCCCATTTTTTTAATTTGAATTTTAATTAAGCTATGTATGTAGAAACTAATAATACATGTATACTTGGCAAAAAAAGTTTAAGACTTTAAATATCAGGATCGAACGTCGTTAAGAGACGATTATCAATTGGTTCCAGATTATGTGAACATTTTTGCATAGTATAGTTATTTTAACACGTTTGAATAAAAAAAGAAATTGAGATAATCATACAAATAATCTTTAATATAAATATATACATGTATCTTAGTGGGAAAATGAATGAATCTAGTTAAACTTTCCGAGACGGTTGTTTGTAATTTTACATTTCATCAAAAAGAACAATTTAGTCATGTTGAAAATATATGTTTTCTAAGTAATTGTGATTTGACAATGTATGCAATATACTAACGTATCTGAACATATTTTTTAGGTGAAGATAGAAGTTCCATGGGAAAAAAGACCTTATGACTGTATTTATCTTTATTTCAATCCATCCTATGAGAATATATTCAGACTCAATTATCTGTAAATATCTTTTAAAAAAATCACAGTGTTAGTAGTTATGCAAAGCTATATTGTTATTGTTGAACTATGGAAACAATTTTTGATTTTCTAAACGAGATAAATTATTGAGAAACAGAAACAAGTTGATGTATCAGGACTATCAGGAGTCTCTCTTGAAGTCTACGTTTTATAAATTATGTGGTCAATATTCAATTAAGACTTTATCAGCAAATATATACATTTGTGGTATCTCTCCATTATATAAACATACAGAGAGAAAATATCTTCAATTCTGTATGAAGTTTGTCAGAGGTCAGAGGTCAATACGTGACCAAATCACACGTCGCAATAATATCTACCGGTACATAAATTATAAAATGACCTGCTGTACTTGCTTTTCAGGTATAAAAATGAACAAAATAAGCAAGTAAAATGATAATTAATTTATTTACAATGTAAACAAGTATTTCATACAGATTGTTGGCTATCAATTCAACCTCTGCACATAGAGAAAACTAGCGTTTACAATTTTTTTCACTTTTGTCAAATGCAAAGTCTCTGGCCTAATGTTCATCCTTATTTTTGGTGTAGACCTTTCGTTAATTTTTCATGATAAACTAGGCTATTATTTTATCTTTAAATTCTACTCACGATAAATGTGTAAATCTGCAGGAAAATACCATTGCAACAATCATGCCACGAACAGCTGCCAAACACCTCTGCGTTTTCGTAGTTCAATGTAAAGATGTCGCCAGTGTGTCCGTGTTTATCAGTGTTTTACGATAAGTATGCCCTTAGTTACTGTAATCGTAGAATGATTTTGATCAAATTGCAAATTATCTGGCTCGGACAAGTGTCTCCATCCATCGGATCCATCCATCCCTTTCAGGCGACCAAAATTCCTCTAACTTTTTTCATCAAACTTCGGACGTGTTTCTTGTGTCTTTTCAGCCACAAATAAAAATATTTCCAGACAACAATCTGTTCACTATTACTGATCCCAAGTAGCCTTCCACAAAATATTCCCTTCGAAATAGATTCCTTAGCCTGACAAATTCAAGGCGTAACCGCCATGCAACTGAGCAAGCCGATTTTCACCTTGCGTCATTTTTTCAAAATCTACGACGGACGGTTAGTGCAATAAATAAATTCGAAAATATTCAATTGTCTGTCTCAAATGTATATATAAGTAATAAATAGCAAGTTTATAAACTTCAATGTGAATTGAAGTGGGTCGGTACGTGATCAAATCTTCTGAGAAGGCCTCCGGCCTTCACAGGATTTGATCACGTGACCGACCCACTTCAATTCCCATTGAAGTTTATAAACTTGTTATTTATTTCTTAAATACAATTTATAATTTTGTCAAATACTGAGTAAAGTTTTGCATAATAGTTGCAACTTGTAAGGACATTATTTATGTACTGAATTGACTATGCATTTGTTCGTTCCCGCTCATGACAAGGAGCACACGGTGGATGTGGCATGACCTGTTCACCCCTATATGGAACCTGATATCAAGTCTGATTTTTGAAAGCTCCTGTTTGTTCCACTACAGTTTTGCATTGTATTATTGACTTTTAATTGTTTGATATCTCCAAATATCTTATTACGAAGTACAAAGTATTATTCGGTCGAAATTAAAGTGTACGATAAATGTTGTCAGGATTTCTACTTTTAACCGATCATGACAAAGAACATTCAGTGAATGTGACAAGTTGATCGACATGAAATGATTACTTCTATATGGCACCAAATCTCATTTCGGTTACGTTTTCATCAGTCTTTGATACATGTTGCTGTATTATTGAATAAAACTTAAAGAATGATTATTTTATGTTATCTTAATAATTGTATTTCGGGAATGAAAGCCCAACTTCATGGCTTGCAAAGAGTATAATATATATTTGCTGTGTTAGATAACTGTTGAATATTAGTTTTACAAAATCATGAAAATGTTGCAGTAGTAAAGTAGTCAGTATTTACATGGCTACACATGGCTTGTTCAGAAATCTAGGGACAAAAGTCACATTTGTGTAGAACTATGACATTTTCTACGCACACACACAGGTTTTTCAAGTATTAACATTATATTTATATAAACATTATATTTACATAAATTTACCTATAAAAACTACTATGTAATTAAAGGTTTATTAACAACATTTCAAATCTTACATTGACAGAGACAAAATAATTCACCTTTTTTTATTTGTCATTGCATAATCTTTCTGCATCACGTACATACTCAGCTTTTATATGCCCCGGGCATTCTTGTTGTACTGTAAAATTGATTTTTTAAGTTGAAGTACAACTATATATTGAAAATTAATATATCGAATTTAATAAATGTTTTCAAACACATCAGTATAACATTTGAAAATCGGTTCATTTACCAATCACTAACTTAGTTGAATTTAAATAAAAGAGTCTACTAAGTTCATGTTTCTTTCCTAATGCCTATTTTTAAATGACTCTTCGCGCATATTAATTTGCAATAGCATGTGTCTGATTGACACAAAGAAAAGGTTTCATTCTAAACAAGAAATGTAATTAAACACCGTTTTCATACACAAGTAAAAATAAAATCTTTCTTTGTTCCACCTTTCACTGACTGTATTCTTAAATGACCGTGATATGACAAATACTCTGCGAGTGCACTATCGTTTAAAGTTAATCAAATTCATATAAATAACAATTTTGATTATTTACGTCTAAAATCCTCTGTATTAAGGTAAGTTTTGATAATTTACTACTATTAATCTCATATATAATTGAATTGAATTACAAAATACACTGTAGTTATTGTAACTGGCTGCAAGAAATTAGATTTTATGAAGACAATGGACATTATTTGTAATAAAAACCTCTTCGATAACATGTAATTTTATTTCTTTAAATATTCTTATAAAGAAACTATAATTTCAATTTCTTTTCAATTACATTGATTTGCTTAATGTACATGACTGTATATTTGTAATATGTCTCCATTATATCCTCATTTTATTTTTACTTTTATAACATCATTCCTTAATCAGTTATTCAGATTCTGAAAAAGGCCCATTCGCTTGCAAATAAATAGCTTGATGATAATGATTATAAAGTAATTTTGCAAATTGTTCACTTTAATACTAATAATTATAATTTTGATTTTTTTATGTTTTATGTTGATCTTGATATAGCAAGTATTCTCTTCTTATTAAATACCCCCCCCCCCCCTCCCAATAAATACAGCGCGCAAGAACTAACAAAACACAACAGTTGCTATGTTCGTGCATATATGAAATCTTAACACTTTGTCCATGTTGTCATGAACAAAAAATTGAATAAAATTTTATGTTGTTTTCGACGGTAGTTTTTTTGTTATTGGCATTGAATTGAAAAATATCATAGATGATAAAGCAATATACCACAGATCAATTTATGAAATTGTACATATAAAATGAAAAAAAAAATTTGCATACATTTTTACACACTAAATAAATAAATGTACATAATGATTTTTAGAAATGGCAGAAAAGACTGATGATTCTAGTACAAAAGACGAAGATTCATCTACAGGTCAATCCGTCAACAAACAAGTGACAGAAATCTTGGGTTTAGTTCAAATAGAAACGGAAACAAAACCGTCAAAGTATAACGTGAATAGGATTCACTCCTTAGGAGATGAGTTGAATAAGCATAAGTTATTCAAGAATCCTAAAATCAGATGGGACGATGTGAAGGAAGGAAGAATGAGTAAACCCGAACTGTTCCTCTGGCTGAGAGAAAACTCGGAGAAATCTTTCTCCACTAGGGAAATTTATATGACATGGGTTAAAGAATGGGATAGAGAAGGTATTTATTTGTATACATGTGTATTTGCTATAATTATAACTGGAACAAGAAACTTTTGGGTATATTTACTCTCTTAACGTCAGTATGTTTTTTATTATATTCCCATTGACTATAAAATTTTTGGGTGTTTAAATATACCAAAACATGTACTTAGTATATATTAATTTTATAAGATAAACGTCCGTGTATAAGGAAATTCGTACATGATAAGGTACATGTACATGTATATATGTTTGGCCCATAAAACCACAGATAATCCTCCCTGTGAACATAATGGTTTCACAATATTTTCAAAGCAGTATTTTTTAAGTACAGTGAATTTACACAAGCTATAACACATGTAACATAAAATACAGCAATTGTATGAATTATTTTCTCCTCGATAAATCTATTTAGAGATTCTTATATTCTTTTTTATATCTCGTTATTGAGCCAAACGAAGACTTGAATAATGTGGCCTCTTCTCTTAATGCTTGTCTAGTCGACATAAAACAATGGATGTGCACCAATCTTTTAAAATTAAATCATGAAAAGACTGAATTGATGTTCTTTTGTCCAAAACATAAAATAAAAGACGTTTCTACATTCAATCTTGTTTTTGGAGGGAGCTCAATTAGTGACTCTCCTTTTGTGAAGAACCTTGGAGCCTATTTCGACCAGACTCTAAGTATGGAGAAAAACTGCTCTTCAATAGTTAGAACATGCTTCAATAATATCCGGAAAATCGGTCGCATCCGTCCGTACATCACTGACGACGCATGCAAAACCTTGATAAATTCACTTGTGACTTCCCGGCTCGATTATGCAAACTCGTTGATGTATGGCATAAATAAGCAACTTGTGAATAAACTGCAAAAAGTCCAAAATACTGCTGCGCGGTTGATAACGCGTACCAGGAAATCTGATCACGTGACTCCAATCTTGAAAGATCTCCACTGGCTCCCTCCCCAATACAGAAGTCAATATAAAATACTTTTGTTTGTATACAATGCATTGAACAATCGTGCTCCAAATTACTTATCCGAGCTTCTCAAAATATATTCTCCTTCCAGGTCCTTGCGTTCACAGTGTTCTTTTCTTTTGGATGTTCCTAAAGTTAGAACTGTTACGTACGGCAGTCGTCGATTTGACTACGCCGCCGCCTCACTATGGAACTCTCTTCCTCTGTGTCTTAAAAATTCCAAATCTGTGTCCGCTTTTAAAAAAGGACTTAAAACTCACCTCTTTGAACGAGCTTACGAGGGAATGTAAATAGTGTTTTTAAAGTGATATATATACCTAATGTAAAAGGACACTGAACTGATCTAAAAGTTTTTAATGTTTTTTTTTTATTTCGTGCTCTAGTGATCGAGTACAGGTTCCTTTAATATTTATTATTATTATTTTTCAAAATGTTTCATAAATTGTAAATTTTTAGAGTCTTTTAGATATCTTATTTTTATGCACAAATATGTATCATGTATTTTTTTTTAAAAGTAATTTGTTCTCCATTTTGTAAGCTTATATCTATTTTAATGTGAAGCGCACTAGAGTGTCATTATTATAATGCGCTATAAAAATTATTGTATTGTATTGTATTGTATCAGTCAACAAATCAGTCTGCATATTCTATGGTGTATACATGTAGGTTCGTTAGACAGTTGAGAATAATGTTGGATATCGGATTATAGGTCTGGTGAAAAAGTATGGCCTTTTCATAAAATGGCAATGTATTACCTCTAATATACACGTACAACACATTCTTTTAAGGTGCATGATCAATCATGCCACACGATCATGTATCCGGATACAAAATTAATTTTATTTTATAATTTTATATGTTACTTCATATCTCAGTAAAAAAGCATATTTTGCAGTCTTTCTACGCATTCATAAAGAAGAAATAAACTACATTATGAATAAGCTGAACAAGAGAACATCCTATAAAACTGCTGAATGGTTTAACAGCAATAAAATGATTGTTCAGGATGGTGCAGAAATGCTCGATAACCTTTCATTCGCATTTGGAGACAGAACCACTGTTGAGATGAAAATTCGCCAGGAGATAAAGAAGGTACGTATGTTCACAGATTAAAAAACTTTTAAAATTTTGATTGAACTTTTGATTCTTCAAAATTCAAAACTGTAAGAAGAAGGATTTTCTATACATAAACTTAAAAGAATAAGAAAGAATCTTGGAAACATTTTTCTTGAACTTAATTCGAATTGAGACTGAATTAAATCTACCCAATTAATAATCCTTATATTGTGATTTTTAATACTCAAAAAATGTATGTTCACTAGTGTGTTTTTTCAAATGAATAAAACAACATATTAAAATAAAATCCGGATGAAACCCGGATGACTCGTTTTTGTAGGTATTCCACATACTAGTCGTAATTAACATTCCTATTCAAATCTGTCCTAAACATTTTAGTATGGAATATACATGTATAAGTCATATACCAATCGCAACTTCTCGGGCCTTTCAGACTAGCGGAAAATCAACCCGAGATGATGCGATTTCAAAAGTCATATACTAGTATCTGATCAATACACAGACCAGCAGATCCTTTTTTTATCCAGAGCAATTTTCCTTTTGTGTATTGATTTTATGAAATCAGAAACATTGGCTTCAATTTTTTTGTAAATAACTATAAATTTGTGTTTATAGTTATTAAATGTTCCATTTTAGCACAGAGTACATTATAATGAATTTGACAACTGCTCCAAATGGATTACCGAATTTCTTAACCAGGAAAGTCCAGACACATGGAACCCGTTTGTATTTTACATTTGTGCAAACGCCTTCCGCTGCACAGTTTGTATCGTGGTATCTGGTCGTGAGGAATACAGAATCCACTCCTTGGAACAAGAGTCTCACATGGCCATTGTTCATTTTGGTATCATAGGATCATCCCAGTATGTGTATTTGAGATGCAACAGAAAAGTATTTGGTAAGTTAAGTGCAGGGCCAAGAGCAACATTATCGTTTCTTTGTTATTTAACGTCCATTTCGAGAAAAAGGTCACTCACTTCTCAATGGCCCAAAAGCCGAATATAGGGCAAAATTTGCAGCTTTCCACCCTGTACATAGGCCACTGAGAAGTGAGTGACATTTTTCATGCCAGCACCAACTCAGTTGATACGGTCTCATCAAAAGAACAGGGGCCCGTTTCATCAAAGGTCGTAGATTTAAGCCTAAACTTAGGTGTACTTCCGGGACTTACGCCAAAATTTAGTCAGGCGTAATTTGCGTTTCACCAAGTGGCGTAAGTCTAGTCGTAAACTATACGCTTAGTCGCAGGACTAAGACCTTGACAACGTTGCATTGCGCAGGCGCAAAAAATATAAACATTGTCCACTGCGAACAAACATGTATATAATATTCTAGCACGTGAAAGAATAGAATAACACAAATTATAAAATTATAAATACTTGCACTGATTGAAACATGCATGGATTTATAGGGTCATGTAGGAGACATGTACCTTATAAGAAATCGATTTTAGGTTTTTACAATATTTCAATAACAAAAGTCTTTTAAATTGAAAGTTAGAAAAGGATCGTACATGTATTTCAGAATTTGATTAAAAGCTAAACTGTTTATTTTAGAATTTTTATTATATACAGCAGCCCCCCCCCCCCCCCGAAATTGATACAGGTAAATGACTTCGCTTTTGATAGTCATTTCATGATTCGATAATTACTTACTCTACTGATAAAATACTATAATAAGTTTGAGACAATACGATTTTAAAACATTATTTTTATAAGATATGTATACAAGTGTACTTAATTGAAAGCAAAAATAATGTATAAAAATGCAGTTTACATATGTACACATTTTAAGTCAAGAAATTTAAGGTACATGTAAGACAATCCTTTCTAAGTCTATTAAATTTCTGTCAAATGATTAATTATAATTTTTATTGACTATTAAAATGGCACAAAGGTTCATATAATAATATCGAAATATTAGACTCTATAGGTACAGGCAGTTATAGACAAAAATTCTTTACTATCTGCAGCTTAAATTTACTGTACCGTTTTACAAGTATGCAGAGAGAGAGAGAGAGAGAGAGAGAGAGAGAGAACTGACTACAAAGATATTCTTACAGAAAGTCTCTGCTTGCGTGGCCTCCCTCTTAGAAATTAAGTTACACTTAGTTTTTATTTTGTTTTTCATTATTAGAATTTAAGTTATGCAGGAATCAAAAATATGCATATTGTTCTCTTACATGTGCCTTATATGCACTCAGATTATGCTATAGTATGTAAAATTTACTCTTTTAGACGAAATCATGAAAAATAAATATGTCTTCTGCACATCAATGTTTGTCTGAGAAAAAAAAATATTTTTAGGAATAAGTCATTTCTTGACTTGACTGTGTAATTATGTCCGTCTTACATCGATATAATAAAAGTAACAATATTTTCACAATTTAAAATTTTCTTACTGTCTATGAGACCCCTATCCCCGGGTATCGTCTTTGTTCTCAGGGACTTCACTTGTCTCAGTTACACATGTACCTAGAAGAATAATTACCTTCGCCCCTAACCCTGTGCATTAAATGTTTATTATTCTGCAAATTCAGGAGGTTCTGAACCCTCTCTCCGGTCCTTTCGAAATCCATGCTTGTGGACGAGGAGTAAATAAAAAATGGACTCTTCGAACATGATAAAAAAACCTTTCTGGTTTTAAGGTTAATTATTTTTTTCTTTAAGTTTAATGTAGAAAATTACTAGAAAGAGGATGACTCTGTTTTGAGACCGATTCCCCCCCCCCCCAAAAAAAAAAAATAATTTTGCGATTTTTCTTCAAAAGAGACGATTTAATGGATATCCCGCCTCCCATATGAATATAATGGCAGTGCCCATGTTTTGCTATGGTAAACCCAAAATATGAGTCGGACCAAAAAGTAAAATAAGACACAATGGCACCCCAAAGCGTAACAGACGGACGGACGGACATTCTGATTACTATATACCCTTCCGCTTTTCAGGCGGGGGTATAAATATATAGTTATATATGTATAGTCGATTTACAACACCTTATAAATACATACAATACAATAATCAAATGTGTGTGAATGCTTTGTCAAAACGTAAGAAATGGTGGTCGAAGAAATTTGTATTTAGACAATATTTTCTTCTGAGAAGATTTAATTCAGTATATTATTAATCCAATCAACAACGCCCCCAAGTGGTTGTAACCCCCACCCCCACCCCCCCCCCCCCTCTTCATAGTATGTAAAATTAAATAATACAACGTTTGTATTTAAAAGACTTCTAAGAACCGTACTTTTTCTTTAGAATTCGCTTACTTGTTTTAAAATTAGTTTAATTACTAAATTTAAACTTTACGCCCGAACTTACGCCTACCCACGAGTAGACGTAGAATTTTGGCCTAAATTTAGTCAGGTGTAACGATACGCTCTTTAATGAAATGCAACTCTTCGTGCTAGTCCTGACTTTACACCGGCGTAGCGCTACGACTGGGCGTACGACCTTTGATGAAACGGGCCCCAGGTCTCCACGTCCCACAGTATAGGGCTCGAACCCGTGACGAAAGGATTAACTTCATACTTCACGACGCTTGAGCAGACACACTAACCACTGCATGCGCCACGCGGGCGACAATTTGATTTTAAATTGTACTTAAAACAAAATGGCACTATTTTCCTATTAAACCAATACATGGACATAGTTTTTATGGCGACGATTTTAACTTGGTATTTTAAAAACTTGTGCTTTTAGAAATAATGGAATTTATCTGAAAATAATTTAATCAAAATTTTAATTTAATGAATCTACTTAGTGCTCACTCTGATTTAATTTATCTTTTAATTTGTGTGAATTGTTTAATTTATAGAAGAATTTGTTTCATAATTTTTTAGTTGTTAATCTAGTGTTTCACAACTAGAACTATTAATTAATTTAAAAAGACCTCTTTATATACATACAAGGAAAAAGTAGAGTCAACAAAATTTTGCACTGAATACAGGACTTCAGCAAATATCCATTTTTTTTCTATAAATGCGCATCACAAAAAGGATAGATTGCAATATTTATATTAAGTTTAGAGTGTGCATTAAGCTTAATAAGCTTAAATATTTAAATATTTTTCATTTTTCAATCGAAAGTTAACTTAATTTAGTTGAGGTCAATATGTTAAGTTGAGATGCACTGCATTTTTCAATACAAAGAAAACCAATCGGAATAAAGACTCGCTCTTGATACATGTACTTGCTTCTTTATATATGTTTTGCAATATTAAAAAAATTCTGTACTTAGCTTATTTTTAAAGTGCTTTGTGTTTTTGTGTGACAAAAACAATACCCACTAGTTGAAGTTGAATGTAATTTAATTGGGTTTATTTATAACAACATTATCAATATTATCTTGGGATGAATCAAAGTACCTTTATAAGAACTTCTTTATAAAGAACATAGTTTTGAACTTCAGTTTTCTATTTCCTTTAATGTAAAACTTTTTGACGGGCTTTCGGGTCTTCTCATGATTTATACCTCCTTTGAAACAAATTTTGAGGAAAGTTCAACTAAAACTAATTTATAAATAGTTTTTGTCAATTTCTTTTACAATGAAAAAATGATTTATTTTAATTTATTATTTGACTTCTCTTTTTTGAAAAACTATTTCATATAAAAAAAATTATAACTTATTATTTATTTTATTTGTAAATTTATTGCAGATGCTTTGAATATATTTAGATTATCTTCCGCCAAATTTGTGGATGATTCACGGGAAGGAGGTGAGGATATGACGACGTATAGTGAAGTTGTGAAAGAGAACAACATACTCAAAAAAGAATTAAAAGAAAACAGAGATGATCTGAAAAATGTACAAAAAGAGTTTGATGACTTGGTTCAAGATATTTCTGTAAAAATGAAAATGTTTGCAAAGAAAATCGAAACTTGTGCGGCTAATGCAAAAGACACACTAGTACCCCAGTCACTTTCTGAATGTAAAGAAAGCATCGGTCAACCAGATGTAATAAAGAAATCTGACAACCATCTTAAAAAGCAGAGCAGAGATACCCCCACGAAGGGTCAAAAGATGCATGAAGGTTATCTCTTTAAGAAAAATGTGTCACCATCACTTAGCCGGCCTGATGTCAAATCTAGAAACAAGGCAAGTCCTGTGAATAATGTTTACAACGTATCAAGATTAGCAACACCTTCTCCTTTTAAAGGCAAACAAAAGAAGAAATCATTTTTAAAAAGACTGGCAGAGGGCGAAAATGCATCTGATGTTATGGACAATACTGTTGAGGTCAGAGGACACCTTGAGTCTTCAAGGTTACCGCACTCACTTCCCGAGGTTGATACTAGTTAATGGCATATACTGTTACATATTTATTGTTAGAGTTTGTATGAATTTTATCAACAATGAATTACAAGGAGATAACGAACAGTATATTTGAGCTCAAAAGTTCATTATATAAAAGATAAGCAACCAAAACAATAAGAGGTGGGATCATGCAGGTGCCAAACCAGCATAATTTGTTAAGCAATCAACCTTAGGAAGGGTGGTCTAAAAGTTTGCGAACTAATTTCTACCAAAGAAGAAATAATATTAGGTGTCAGTATCCAATATTTTCAAAAGAAAAAAAGTCCTCCCATCTTTTAATGTGCATCTACAATCGCTTTGTCCATGCGCCAATTACGTGATATTGACGGTCATGTGACACATTCCGTAGCGTTCTTACAAAGAAACTTAAAGATTTCTCCGAGTCTTTTAATTGTTACCATGCAAGACATTTTTTTCTATTCAAAAACAATCCATTCGTCAGAAATAACCAAATTTTAGCAATAGGGGGTTGCTAAGGATATCCAAATACTCGTAACCGGTTTTCTGGTACAATACCAGTTTCAAAAATGAAATTTTTCATAAAATTTACATTTTCATAAATTGGCAGAAATTACGACAAAGTTGTTCTTTTGTGCAAATTTAAATATCGAAGCCCGGGGACATACTTTTCTTCAAATCATTAACATCAGCATTCGTCTCAATGATAAATTGTATTTGCTGACAAATTTATAAGTCATTGCCTCGACCATAGAACTTAAGAAAACAAGACTGCTGATATTCTTGTCTCATCAACTTGTTTGTCAATAATTTACCCTGTTTTACAAATTTTTCATACGTACAGCATGCTCTTGTGTATAGAATCAACTGATATATATATATATATATATATATATATATATATATATATATATATATATATATATATATATATATATATATATATATATAGATCTTGGTTGTTAGATTACTTCAAATGCAGGTGATGAAGGTGTATTGCTGCAAAAGTAACGGAAGTTGACGACTATAAAGTTATGGTCATCCATTTTATCATAGAGCTTGGTTGTTAGATTACCATTAACGTCTTTTTCAAGTAAAATATCCAAATATGACAATTTTGGAAATCTTAATTTCTTAAGTAGATAATTATTTTCAGAGTTTTTTTTATACATTGTAATCGAAGACTTATGGATATTAAGTTTTTATTCTGTCTGTTTGTTTCTCTGGGAAATGAACCCATAACTTTTGACCGGATGGGGTTATGGCTTTCACAATTCACGTGTGTATTCTTTGTGACAATACCTTTCTTTGGATCCCACCAAATTTGACCTCTTGACCTAAGACTTTGATCCATTTTTCCAAAATAAATAATAAACACACAAACTTTAACCTTAGCCATAACATTTAAATAGGTGCTAAGGATTTTGTTCTTCAAACTTGAATTCCATGAGACAAGACCTTTTAATGTGTTAATATTTTCACCTTGACCTAAGAGTTTGACCAGAAAAACTTTGAACCTGGCCATAACGTTTGAATAATTAGAACCAGGGCTTTCATTTTTCACAGGTGAATTTTCCCCAAAAAGACCTTCCCCCTGATACCAACAGATTTGAACTTTTAGTCTTTACCTTGGAGTTTGACTAGCATTTTAGAAACTAAAAACCTTCACCAAACAGGGCATCAATGTTTCAATGTTTGATTACAGACACATCTTTTTTATGTCAAAGGTCATTTGCAAGATATTGTCACACAAAATAGCCAGCGGTAGATGAAAGGTATGGTTGTAAGGTAAATAACCAGACAAAGATGTTTTACATAACAATTATTAAAACTAAAACATTCAGCAGCTTTTATAACATTGTACATGTATTAAGCTTAATGGTGGTTTAATACAGTGGTACTCTAAAAAAAATCATTTAAATGTTCTTTTTTCTATAAAAATAATTAATCTTGAATGATACATAATGTTTAATGCATATATGGTAATAAATATATTTTAAACTCTGAATTCTTTTAAATAAAAAGTTTGATTTGGAAGCTCAGTATAGTAACTATACAATACACAGTGCTTTTATTTTGAAATTCAAATTTTATGGTAGGACAACTGCAATGACCATTGAAAAGAATAACGGGACATGAAAGAAATATTTTGAAATAATATTAAATACTGTATAAATGCAACAACATCATTAGAATGAGAATCATTATTGCTGCATTTAAATGCACAAGAGCACCATTATAAAACTGTAAATAGCACAATCATAATTATAGAACAATTAAAATGAAATTAAATCAAAATGATCATGAATTTGCTACAAAGTAGCACAAACATTAATTTGAGGCATGTTCATTGATTTGAATATGATATATAAGTAATACTCTGTGTATGCTAGCAATGCTTTTTTATGCTTGTTAAAGCTGACTGCTTGCTCAAATCTGGAGATTTGCTGGACAAGATACATGTATATGCTGTTTTGAAATACTGATTGGTAGAACAGAAAACACAATTCCTGTACTGTATCAAAGTCTATCATTAAAAATAACTGAAAAAAATCTGTAAATTAAAGAACATAGATCATCATAGAAAAATAATAAAATTCTCTGTTTGGAATAATGGGACAAAGTCTTGTATAATTCATTATCTGAGAAGATAACTAATGCACAATGTAGGGAACACAGGTGTATAAAAATATCAAAGAAAGAGTTCAAAGAATTAAAAGAAAAACAGACCCTGAATGATAAATGTATGTGCAACAATTGTATTATTCATTCTCATCATGTATTACCATGAAATATCTTATAGTAAGGGTATAACAGTGTATAGAATATATTATTTAATTTCATAAAAAATTTCAAAAACAATATCAAATAAACATGGAAATCATTAACAATTATAGAAAGATTATATAACTATAATTATAATAGCTATGGTTCAAAAACTGAACCAACCCATTATACCAGACTGGTTTAATTAGTAATTGGTGTAAACATTGCAAATATAAATCTAGGAATTACATCCAAATTTTATCTCGCATTTTCTACATCTATAATGCAAACGTTGTATTCCATGATATAAATTACAAAATTGTAGGTGAATTTTAAATTCTATTAACTTGAATGAACAGTATTTTCTTATTTCTTAAATTAGTACACAATCCACTTTCTGTAAAATAAAGGTTTATCTTTTTAATTAACATAATCAAGAATGTTCCACTATTTTTCTTGTGACTGACAAATCCCATTGTCCAATGCACAGGGCTAATGCACTTTTAATAGATACATGTCCGTGGGCAACTGGCTTTAAAATATCATTAGACAAACATTTTTAATAAAAATGTTTATAGTTTTACACAAAAATGAAACAATTTATGTATTGTTAAGTTTAAACATACAAATCTTAACAAGGTGTTTATTTTTATAATAATAAGTATATTATAATTTGTCCAACTAATCCTGCAATAATTATAAATTCAATTGTTTAAATAAAAAAAAAATATCTGAAAAAAAAATTGCTAGACACAATATTTAACTAATTTAATATTTTATTCACTTACCACAAATGAGGATTAAAATTATTTGTTAGATAAAATTCATTTTCTGTATAAAGATAAATGGTTGGCAGCTAGGCACCAATTTTACATTCAATATGCTTTCCACAAAAAGATGTTTTATAAACATCATTACACTGTGGTTACAGTCTCTGAGGCACAATTCAGCATTCCACTACCCTATCAAAACTGGTAGGTGGGAAAAGTCAAACTCAACCATAAAACAGGATGTGCTAATATCTGCCTTTAAAAATTGAAGATGTTCAAAATTTCCTTCAATAATGTGTCTCCAATAAATATTTTCAATAAAAACACTATGACAATTTTTCCAGTAATGCATTTTTAGATCAAAATCTCTGTGTGTTTTCCTTGGGCTGAGTCATCAATAACATCAAATGCTCTTCCAACAATATTTACTGATTATATTTTAATAATATATATATACAAAGTATTTGTGTATTGAAAATTCTTTTATTGAAAAAGGCTTTAATTTACAATGACAAAAAACTCATACATAATTTGATTAATAAAGGTACATGTTAAAAAAGAACCAATCAGTTTTTATTAGGTGGTGCAAAATGGGGAAAAGATTCTATTCTGAGTATATCAAAACAATGTCAAAACAATGCTCAATGAGTGGAAAAGTCAAACTCATCCATGAAACAGTATGTGCTAATATCAGGCAAAGAGAAAAATTTAAAAATGAGTGGGTTAAAAAATTGAATTCCAGATTTTAAATATTGCATTCAATAAATGTCCCATTTTCAATAAAAACAATGTCATATTTTAGAAGGAGATTTTTAGCCTATCAAAATCTCTGTGTATTATTGGTACAATACCACCTCATGGTTGAATTCGACTATTCCACTTGGTAAGTTTTGACATTTTAAGAAAAAAAGACATACATGCAATATATAGATATATAGATGGTTGTGTAGATAAATTATCGAGGGAGGACAATGGTAACAAACAGTTTACCAGCCAGTGCACAATTCAGACTTAGATATACTATACTATCAGATTGCTAATATTAAATGAGGAATAAATTATTGCTTGATTCTGTGAGAAGCATTACTCACAAAATTAAGTTACTCACTTTTATTTTTATGGTGCTAAAATCTATGTAAATTCTATTGATCAATCGGCCATTTGTGAATAATTATTCTCGGGTTTTGACATTGAAGAGCTATTTTGCAAAAATACATATATAAGTACTCATTAAAAATAAGGAATTTAGAGTACCTTGTGTTATTATTATACAACAGGTTAAAAATCTATTTCTGAAACAAGTGCCTGTTACTCAAACCATTCGTCGACAAGTATTGTAAATCAACCCAAGAATAATGCCTCCTGATGGAGACAGAGAATTCCCAGTTTTTGTAATGGTGCTCTTTCTGACGTTTTCTTGATTAACATGTAAATTGTAAAATAACAAAGATCGTAGAAAAAAGTCTGGAAAACGACAGATATTTCAGACTATATTCGGGCTTTATCTGGGGAATGCAACATACACACAACGTCAAATGACGTCATGCAGAGTTCTGACGTTGCAATATGTCACAGTTTGACGAACCTGATCTCTAAAGTAAAACTCTCGCCTTAAAGTTCGCACTTTCAACATATTAACAAGTCTGTACCATTTTAACCACTTGGTAACTTACCCTAAAGCCCTGGACTGATAGCTCGACACAGTAAACATCGTCCTCCTGAGTCCTGATGTTAAGGTACACCTTTTCCACTCCTTGTGGTAACTTAGCGGAAAGTTCAACATGTGACACGGCAAAAGAAACTTCTTTCAAAGCTTCTTGGGCTTCAATCCGCAGAGTATAATCATCACTTCTCCTACTTTCATTTTCTTCAGCCATCGTTGGCTGATCTTAGTCACCAAGTTGTTTGGCAGTAAAGCAATCAAAATAGTAACACGTCATCGACTCCTTGACATAGATTTCATAAAGGGGCGTTCTATATTCATTAATTAAACAAGATTTGTTTCTTGTGAAAAAAGGTTTGTAAAGACAAATTTTTTCTTCTAGACACTAAATAAATGATCGATTATGTAATATTACTGATGTAATTGGAGATCAATTTGATGATAGGCAAACGCTGAACAACGAGGAAGTAATCTCGACACGAATAACACTCAGAATGACATAGCATGCACCGGTGTTTGAGAACGTAGCAAACATGGCGGCCTCCTTGCTACCCGTTTCTCAAAAATTTATTAACGGGGTCCCTGTACCGCAGGGCCGCAAGACGCTGCGTCTTAAAGAGAAGTACATAATCTTACTGGTGTTTGTTACATTTGGACTCGTGTGTTTTGGTGCATTTTTCTTTTTACCAGATCTTCGAGATCGGGTCAGACTGAACGATGTTGTTAGGAACAGAATGAGAGGTGTAGATGAAATGATGATTCCCCGGGGAGGTATAAGGGGTGGCCAGATAATTAGGCACGGGGAAGATGAACATGAACATTTAAACGATGATAGATTAAAATTCCAGAACCAAATGGATAGGGATAATAGGATTGCTAACATAGGAAAGAAATTAAACATTTCAAGGAAAGATAGTGGTAAAATCAAGGAAGATATTGATTCAGAGAAAGAGAAGATTTTAAAACTGCGTCAAGAAGAAGCAAGAAAAAAGGAAGAAGAAGAAAAAGAGAAGGCTAAACAGATAGAGACAGAACACGAAGGAGGGGAGGGAGGACAAGGGGGAGAACCCACAGATCCTGACATAAAACAAAAGCGTGAAAAAGTGCGCGAGGTAAGGGAAACATATATAAAGGGCACAAGTCATAAGAAACCTGCAAGTGTGGTATAAGTATTTCATTTTTTTAAGGGTAATTTGAAAATGATATCCTGCAAAAATCATTGTTGTCAACATCAGGTTGGGCACACACCCCCAAATGGTCATTTAACCCCTGTTTGGTGGTCAATCGCCCATATCTGCGTCTTTATTACCTACCAATAAGTGCCCACCATAAAAATAAGAGGAGCTCATGTTTAACGGGATTAATTTTATAGAGATTGATATAGACTAGGGGTGAAATGATACGCCTTCTTCACGGTTCGATACGTATTGAAAAATTTGGTCTCGGTTCAGTTATTTTCAGTACGATACATTTTGATAGAAGGAAGCAAATCCAATTGTTGTTTTATGCTTCCTTTTCTTAATCTAGTCAAATAATTTATGTGCAAAATGGAAAGAAGAAATCAATTTAATTAATTTGACTGTTAAAAATTATTTTTCAAACTTCAAGTCCACAAAAATGTACGTTTTTGAACTAATTGTATGGAGGAGCATGTTTATACCATATGCGAATCTTGACAGAATGACGATCTCGACCGAAAAATGAACCGAACCGAAAATAGAGATTTTGTTCCGTGTATTGAACCGAGAAAACATACCGTTGTAGCGGACAGTATATAGGGAACTTATACTGCCTCGCCAGTGAGCTAGCTTTTCTGGTGATGCGGTAGAGTCTCCCTCTATTTCAGGCAAGTTAAGCAACGGCGAGCCTGTTTAACCCTTGGATGGGTGACCGCTTCACGTTACAAAATTGGTGGCAGCGTAGTGACTCTGGGTGTCTGGTGTCCTGCTTCAGGAAGTCTTAGAGCTACAATGTAGGACTTAGTGTCCATATACAGACTTCGTGTCTGTAGACGGCAGTGGTTGCCGTATCTGAAGTCAGGTTCAGACCTACTTCAGGAAACTCTAAGGCTAGGACTTTGTGTCCAGGTACGGACTTCGTGTCCGGGAACGGTATTGGTTGCCGTAGCTGAAGAGGTCCAGATACTCAGAGAGCTTCCCTGAACGGGGGGAAGTGTAGCGGACAGTATAAAGGGAACTTATAATGCCTCGCCAGTGAGCTAGCTTTTCTGGTGATGCGGTAGAATTTCAGGCAAGTTAATGTTTAACCCTTGGATGGGTGACCGCTTCACGTTACACCGTGGTGAACCGTTTCACTCCTAATATAGACGCAGATTGAAAGATCATTTGAAAAGTTACTTTTCTACACTAACACCTCTTGTTCAAATATATTTTTCACCGAACTATACACAACAAAATAATTTTTCATATTGTTTGAGCAAATAGTTGGGCCATCACGAACAACTGTGGGTTTGGTTTTCACGAAGTTCCAAAGAAATTCCACATGGAAAATTGACTAAATTATATTAAATGCGCAAGGAATATGTTAATTAAAATCCCCAATGCCTGAGTAAATGCGCTTTTGCTTTATTTTAATAAAATTTTAAATTGGATTTGAATAAAAAAGACCACCATTTGGTATGTAAAAATGACGCCGATATGGGCGATTAACCACCAAACGGGGGTTAAATGACCATTTGGGGGTGTGTGCCCAACCTGAACGTGGTCAGGGGCTCAAAGTTGCTGCAATAATGTAGCACTCTCTAATTTCTTTTATCTGATATTTTCTGGAGAGAGCTTTATCTCCACAGCATCTCCTAATGGTGCAAAATCATTGCAGCTTGACCCTTGTTTGATATATATGACAGCAATTACCATCTTTTCAGCTGTCAAAATCATGCACACAATAAGGGAATTTAAAACAAAAGTTTAATGTAGTTGATTTTTGAATACCAATACTGATCAGAATTCAGACAAAGAAAAAACCAAAATAACAAAATTGAGGCGGAGGTAAAAATCGGGGTCAGGGCGGGGATAAGAATCGGGAATATATTTATTATGACCTTATATATCAACCATGTGTTACAGTTTAATGGACAAATTAATATTGTTGCAGATGATGAGGCATGCATGGGTTAATTACGAGAAATACGCCTGGGGAGCAAACGAACTTCGTCCAATCAGCAAGCGAGGACACAGTGCCAGTATTTTTGGAAGTTTGAGCCTCGGAGCCACAATCATTGATGCGGCCGATACTCTGTATATCATGGAGTTAATGGATGAGTACAAGAGAGCCCGGGACTGGATAGCCACAAGTTTTACCTTTGATGGGGTGAGTATAAGTCTCTTATGCAATTACACATTCACATTGCCATCCACATTTCTTTTTATTTTTTTACTTTGTGTAAAATTGCGATTTCCTCATTTATAGAATTATATGTACAGTAAACCAACTATTATTCATGTCATCTTTTATTTGGGATTTGTAAGTCAAAAATCAATCTGCAACAAGTAATATTTATGATGGTGGAAACATTTCTCTACAAATGCTAATCAAAATGCATGGTTCCTGGTTATTAATATTCACACATTTAAAGTAGGTTGTGGAACTTGTGGGTATTTTTCACACAAGAGATAATAGTTGGTTTACAGTTTATCATGCCCTTTATAACTCTACTTCACACTGCTAGGCATCACTGCAGCTTTTATTTCTTCTTAATCTTCCACTGTGCTTATGTTTTTAAAACAAACTGATACCCCAGGCTCATCATGTTGATTTAGTACATTTATATATTTGTATATAAATACATTTTGAAAGCAAAGCTAGAATACCCTCCCCCAGGCATTAGTTATTTTCATTCAATGAATTCCTTGTCTGTACATAGTATAAAAATTACATGTATTGTATACCACACAAGATATAAATTACATGTAAATATATACTATTTATACACATGTACCACACAAGATAATCTTCCCTTAGGTGAACATAATGAAGGAGTCCGCTTTAGAGAACTGATTGCTGCTGGGAAGTCAGTACTTCAGATTGAGAGACTGGTGCCATATCTCTTAAAAAATCTACTCAATATATCTGACATATTTATAGGCAGGTCTATTCAGATTAATGAAAGAAATGTCCTGCTTTCAGGACAATTAAAAAAATTATTTTTAAAATACTCAGCTTTTCCTCATAAATCAAGAAAGAAGGCAAAAAGTGGTCTTGTTTTTTTTTTCACCATTTTATATTTTAGTGAAAAGAGAAACAGTTGGGAGTTAGGGAGTGAGTGGGAGGGAAAGTTTATACAGAGGGGGTTATAGCTCATTTAACAATCCAGAAATTCTTGTATACCCGTAACAGATACACCTTTATAACAGTCATAACAGTTATATGTTTTGCTTGATAGTAGCTTAGAATGTGTTGTTATAATGATCAAACCTTAAACATTTTAAACATGTATCTTGAAATGAATTGAATAATTTACATGATTTAAGGTTGATTTTTTTTTTTAAATTCTGAAAGTTTTTAATGTATCATTCATTAAAAGAACAGGGACAAAAATTAAGTGATTAGCATGCATGCGAAGGCACAATTTACCTTGCACATAAAAGACAGAAAAAACAAAGTGTTATATGGCTTAAATTGAATGCTTCTGTGTTTTGTTTTTACCGTACTGTATGCTTGGCATGCGTTTCTCTTAGAAAGTTGTTAAGCATGTGTTTTTCACATTACAGCCCAAAAGTGTTTTCTCAATCATTAAAGAGAAAGTAGGATTTGGTGTAAGTGTTACAAAATCACAGCTTCTCTTAGCTTTAACACAGGCAGAGAATTTAACTGGAGATATTAATAAAGGAAAATTAAAAAAAAAACTAGCTGGGTTGATATGAGAAATAGAATTTGACTGGAAAAATGGTAGAAACTCTCCAAAAGCCCACATTTCAGTAAAATTAATGTAATTATTTTAAACTTTATCTGAAGTTATATTTTATTTTTTTTTTTCATAATTCTCGGACTGTTTTCATATTTAGTTTTGTGAATGCTCTGCATGTTTTATTTGTTTGTGGAATATTTATGCATTACAATGCAGAAGTGGTTTTTGTTTTTCTTCATCCTTTAAAATAATATGCATTTCATTCTGTCACATACAGTGTATATGTATTAAAATTAAATATGTTTTCACTTAGTGCATACACATAATTATCTTGGTACATAAAAGTTAACAGAATGCTGGATTATTAATAACATGTGCACATAATGGGCGGGGATGTTGATGTTACCAGATATATAGCTTTTTAGCTGGGCTTATTGCTCAAAGAGCAATTGCCGGCTTATGTGATCCTGTTCAAGGCAGGATGTTGACCCCATAGTCGCCATTTTAAAGTTACGTGCAAAAATATAGTTCTTACTCTCAACCGCTTTTGAATAATACAAACGCTAAATAAAGCAACAAAAATAAATCGTTTTATCTATATAAAATGTAGTAATGACTTTGAAAACTTCATAAGTCAAAGAACATAGTTCATTAGCGTAAGGATTTTTGATAATCAGTGTTACCGTAGTTCTCTACATCTACACATACGAGGTAAAGCAGGAGAGGGAACCAGACTGGCCTGTTCATTTACATTCAGCTGCGGTACCAGATTAATTCTGATTCTGACAAAATCGGATTGAGGTATTAGGATTGAAAAACTCACTGTCAGTGTTTTATCATTTATATTGATAGTTTTAAAATAATTTTTTCATCAGAATATAAACGTGATTCATGTAAGAAATCCATTCTACTCTGTAAATGAGCCCGGCTCTCTGTACTTTGAGTACTTTGATTAAGATTTAGGGGCAAAGGGAGATAATATTGGGAATGCATTCATCATTGTTTGTTGTCTGTGTCCCTTTAAGAATTTTTCACTTATATTGGGGCACCTCATCATGGAAAGGGAATTTTTAAATAATCAAACTACATGTAGCTAAAGATTTCTAACCTGAACTCACTTTTAATGTAGAACTTATAATAGTCACTGTGCAGTAAAATAGTGGAAAGGGCAGCATTGGTGAAGGTGTGCCATGTATAAAATACACATGATGCACTGTGCTCATGTAAACGCATGTGTATACCATGTATAAAGGTGTTCATTAGTATCTCATTGAATAATTTTATTGAAATATATATATCCAAGTGTACTTGTCTGTGCTGAAAATTTCAGTGAACTTTTTTCAGTAAAAATTAAGATTTTTTATTGTAACTGCCAATTTTTTTTTCCTATAATTAAAGTTTAAGTACTGGGTCATCATTATTTATAAACTCCCCATACAAACACTTACATTTTGATTTCTCATCCCAATTCTCATCTTTCTTCTGGTTTTGCTGGTTAGTTATCATATGACTGGACAGTTTGTATGTTGCATTTGTATATAAGCATTACCATGATTACAGCATGTACATAAAGAAAAACATTATGATCAGTGCCTATAGAGTACAGAAAATTTCCAGGCAGACAGTAGCTCCTATTTACAGACTGTTATTCTTGAAAAGAAATGAATATGTTTGAAATGTAAGATCAGTGTCCAATTATCATTTTTTTTACTTTCAGGCAACTGAGCTGTCAGCGTTTGAGACAAATATCCGCTTTGTTGGGGGTCTTCTATCTCTGTATGCTCTCACTGGGGATGCTGTAAGTATTTATGAAAAAATGTCAGCTAAAACAAATAAACAAAAACACTCTTGGTTTCAGTAAAAGGTTAATTAAAATGTATTTTTAAAATAGTTTTTTAAAAATTTATTTTGAATTACTAGTAAATCATTGTAAATTGCGATCAAATATTTTTTTTTTTTTTTTTTTGAAAATAAATTCTTTAATCACACAAATCTACACATTCTACAATAATTATTTCCTTTTTTTTGTGTAGATGTACAAGAAGAAAGCCATAGTGGTGGCAGACAAACTGCTCCCAGCCTTTGACACACCCACAGGAATACCACAGTCCATGGTCAACACCAAAACGTAAGTCTAGCCAAGTAACTCTGTAGGTTTTTAAATCAGTTTGAATGTTGTTACATGCATTGGGCTACTGCATGAAAATAGGAACATTTTGAAATGCTTTCAAAATGGTACTCCTCATAGTTTTGCTCAGATATCAAATTATAAGAACTTATTCTAACATCAGTGGAATATATAATTTAAAACCTTATTTTTATCAGTTTGAGATTGATGTACCTTAAAACATGGCTACTGAAAATAGGAAGAAAAATATCTGTAAAGTTGCTTTCAAATTGCCTTTCATACTGTTTTTGGTTGACTTTAATAAATCTTGATATCTTTAGCACCATCTGGATACATGTTTAATTACTGTGAAATGTAAAACTGAAAGAGAGAGATAAGTTAAATGTACCTTTCCACTTTTACCTTTATCCATCAAAATTATTGTCAGCAGAGCTACAGTCTAATCAGAGATTTCTTTTTTTAACAGAGGAAGTGCACGTAATTGGGGCTGGGCATCAGGCGGCTGTTCTATTCTCGCTGAGTTTGGATCCTTCCATTTAGAATTTGTCTATCTCTCGGAAATCAGCGGAAAAAGTGTTTACAAAGACAAGGTATTGGTTTAATTATTATCATTTGACAGAAATGCCATATTAAATTTATGTACTGAAACTGATTAATTTTTAACTTAACCTTATTAGAGTTCAGTATTATAAAGTTAACGCTTGTTATATTTGTAGGTGATGAAAATCAGGGAGACCTTGAACAGCATAGAGAAACCTAACGGTCTGTACCCTAATTACCTGAATCCCCGCACAGGAAGGTGGGGACAAAGTAAGTGATTTCATGTCTTTAGTTTTAATTATTCAATTGCTTTTGATAAAAAAATTAAAAAATTTACAAACTGTTTTAACTTTGTCTATTGCTTTGAGCAGAAAAAAGATTTAAAATTTTCTTAACTGAAAAAAATATCAATAAAGCAATCATGACATTAATTACTTTAAATTTGTAGCATTAAGGAGAACAATTAAACTATCTGCTATTTAATGCAGAGAATTGATATTTTTGTAGGTCATACTGCCATTGGGGCACTAGGAGATAGCTTTTATGAATATCTGTTGAAATCTTGGCTTCAGTCTGGAAAGAAAGACGATTTAGCCAAGAAAATGTATGACGAAGCAGTACAGGTAATGAAAAAAATTATATAATTAGCATTTTATATCAAGTTGTCTTGGTTTATCTATTTACATGTATGTTATAATTTATAATTATTGAGCTATTGCTAAGTTTCTGCATGCCGTAAACTTACTTTGATTTAAGTGCATAGTGTATATATATTTTTTACTGCAAATTATTTATTTAAGATTGGGTGTTTATTTCAAATGTATCTTAGTTTGCAGAAAATGTCTGCAGAATAATTTTTTTATGAATAATATTTAGCAACCTGCTGGCAAAAAAAAAAAATCCCAATTTTATGAAAACCATTGTAGGCCATTGTAGAGAAGCTTGTGAAGAAATCCCCAGGAGGACTAACTTATGTAGCAGAGTACAAATCTGGGAGACTGGAAAATAAAATGGACCACTTAGGATGCTTTGCAGGTGTGTTGTTTATTTATGATCTTGTACTGATTTGATACAAATTGTTATCAATGCAAAATGATTCATATACAACAATAAACAAGAACATGAATTTATTATGGGGGAATGCTGATCTAAAGTTGTAGTATGTATTTTATCAATATGAATATAAAAATAAGTTATTTTATGTTTTGCGTGGTTCTTTTCATGAAATTATGCAATTATATATTTAGAAATCTACACTAAAGAATCTGATTTAAATGTGCTAAAAATGATTTACTTATTGATTTGTAATGCATTATTAGTACGTGGTACATGTATGTTTGGAGTATAACTGAGTTGTACTATATTTGTTACTTGTTGGAGGTGTATGTATATTTGAAGTATAACTTGAGTTGTACTGTATTTTGTAGGTGGTATGTTTGCCTTAGGAGCTGAGTATTCAGACAACAAACAGAAGTATTTAGACATTGGAGCAGGAATATCTAACACTTGTCATGAATCTTATGTCAGATCAGGTAAGGTCCTTTACCCATTGAATCCTTAAGGTAAAATGACAAGGTCTTATGTTGAATATTTTTGCTCTGTTCATGCAAAGAGTTTGATTTGCAGTAAAACTGATGTGAAATAAAATAATGCAATGTAAAATAATTCAAATTAAATTGCATTCACACAACAGCTAAAGCAAAGTAAATTAATGCAAATTAAATTTTATTTGTACAACAAGGCTATTCAGTAAGGCTATTATGAAGGATCTGTAAAGCACATCTTGTATGCAGATAAGATCCATTTGACATAATAATCATATTGATTGATTTAGTGATTAACTTTATTTTCCTTTCTTTTTCAACCAAAAATAACACAAATACCTAAATATAACCACCGACATGTGGCCTGTGACATAATTCTGGCTTTAAGCATGTGTTAAAATTTAATTTCAATAAGCTTTGCTTAGTGAGTCTGGAAAAGCAAAGCAAACATTATTTTAAGGATAGCCTTATCATGTGGTACTGTATACAGGGAAATTTTTGCCCCCATTTTTTTTTCGCCCCAATCGCCCTACCATCATTTGAGCGAATTTAAAATGGGCGAAATGAAATAATACAGTATATTTTTTTTTAATAAAACTATGATTGGGCGAATTTAAAACGTGGCAAAATTTTTTGCAAGTGTGAAAGGGCGAAAATTAAATGGGGCGAAAATAACCCTGTATACAGTATATTGTTTGAATTCTTAGTAAGTTTAATAGATGTGGTGTTAATCTTCAGAAACCAAGTTAGGCCCAGAGGCTTTCAGATTTGATGGGAATACGGAGGCGAAGTCGATACGACAGAATGAGAAATATTACATCCTACGTCCCGAGGTAGTGGAGACCCACTTCTACATGTGGAGGTTAACTAAGGAGGACAAATACAGAGACTGGAACTGGGAGGCCATACAGGTAGGAGGTCCACTGAGCAGGGACAATTTTATATCAGGAAACAAAGCGTTATAAATTTCAAGAATTATGTTTTCATAAAAATATTTTATGCAGTTCAATTGGCAAGTGCTACATTACTTTTCGAATTCTGAAGGAGAAAGAGAATTTCATTTTATGTACATGTAAATGAAGTGTAATGAATAGCAGGAAATTTTCAGCCTGAAATTCAGATAAAGACCAAGAGAAGGAGTTATCTCTCTTTTAACACGTTTATCATCGGGCAAAAATACATGCAAAAAATTAAAGTGCAAATAACTGTGTACACAGTAGTATACAACTGTCAAACAATGTTCCCTTGTAGAAAAATATCAAACCATTAAGTAGTTACATCAAGAAATCTTTATTCTGATTGTAATTTTTCTATTGGCTTCATATTTCAGCAAAAAATTTGTATAAGCAGTTACATGGAGCTTTTGCATAAAGCTGACTGTGCAACATTCTTTTATGAAAAGAGACAATCATCACCTGTTTTTATTCCTTTCAGGCTCTGGAGAAGCACTGTAGGACAGATGGAGGTTACACTGGAATACGAGACGTGTACCAGTCAAACCCGTCACAGGACGATGTTCAGCAGAGCTTCTTCCTGGCAGAGACCTTGAAATACCTCTATCTGACTTTCTCTGATGACTCACTAATCCCCCTAGACAAGTGGGTCTTCAATACTGAGGCCCACCCCTTACCGATTCAGGGGGCCAATAAAGTTATTGAGAAGAAGGAGAGATAGGTTCGATAGGTCCCATTATTAATTAAAAATCTGTGATTGGATATATATTTGGTGTGAATATTATGTATAGATTTGTTTTGATGTGTGAGTGAGTTATAGATGGTGTAGATGCATCTATTTTTAAGTTATTTTTTTTAATAAGACATTCTTTTAAGTCACAATGTATACAAGTTTAAATACTTATTTCTAAATCAAAATTTCATTATTTTTGGATATTTGACAACCAAAAGAATATATATTTTTTGTTCAGAAAGAAAGACTTATTTTTGCATGTATCATTGAATTCCTCTATAAACTTACATGAAAAATGTTGAGAAAAGTATAAAAAAAAAATTGAATTTATTTATCTGCCTGAAACAATTTTGAGCAAAATACTACAGACTGAAATAAAAGAAAAGATCATGTAGAATTTTAGTTGAACATCCTCCTTGTAAAATTATCAAGCTTACTTTCTTTAGGTAACATACATGATCCTTAATCTAGAAGTTATTGGTTCTCCTTAAGAGTGTTTTTGTTTGTTTAGTATGGTAGTGAGCTAGAAGCTGAGAGTGTTGACAAATTTCTTCTTCAGACACAACAGGACTCTCTCACAAATAGTATGACCCAAGTGTTGTGTCATACAGCAAGCTAATTTTGTTTTTTCCACCAAAACTTATTAGTTAACCGACAGGTTATTTTTTTAGTGATCCCTTCTCAAATTCACCAGACCACTCTAAAGTAAGACATGATCTATTTATGTAACCATGTTTACTTTGCATAAAAAGTGCAGCAGCCTGTTGGACTGATCCACATATAAATTTTTTTCATTTTTTCATTTTTGTCATTTTGTCCCCTGAGCTTTATAATAAATATACCTCCACCTGAACTTTATATTACCATTGAAACTCCATTTGATTTTATTTTATATAATTATCTGATTCAGCATGAACCAAGGTATTTGATGCTTTTGTTTTGGCATGCAGTGTACAAAGCACATTGCTATGTATTCAGATTTATATAAATTTTATCAGTATACTTGTGTGTAATTATGATGTAAATACACTGTACCTAAATATGATTTTGTGATATATGCTTTGCTAAGCTGTCTCTTGATTGTTAGATGGTAGATATTAGTGATTTTTAATTTTCTGAGATGACATCATTGTAGATGAAAATATCATTGATTAATTATTTGACTTTCTTTTGGTGTTTAAGTGAAAAAAAAATTAAATACTTTTTCCTCAAGAGCCTAAAATATTTTAGAAGGTCTGAGAAAAGTAAATTAATACATCATGTGTTTCATTCATTCAGTTTGGGAATAATTTAAAAATTTAAATAATTCAATCATCAAGAAAGAATATCTCTGTTTTTAATTAAGCATGATAATTATATCATTATGTTTGTTATTATCACAATGATAAATTCATAATTTTGTCATAAGCAGTTGGTGTATGTCAAATATATAATTATTGTGTCATAATGCTCATTTGACATGATCATCATGGTGGTTTGTAAGAAGTAACTGTATCCATGGTTCATTTGAGAAAGACAATTTTACTTTTGCTTTTATAAACAATCTCCGTAGAATTTTGTAGTTTGATCTTGATAAAAGTGGCATTCCATTGAAATTATGTCATGTAGTTCTGTTAACACAGCATTATTATGTTGAGTTGTAGTTACAAAGTTATTTATTTATGTTCTTGTAATTAGAAAATGATTTTCTTCAATTAAGAGGAAGATTTTTAGCTAACTAATACCGAGTAATTTGTATAACTACAATAGTTGTTTTGATGGAATAATCCAGGGACATTTACCTCAATTAAATTGAATGAATTTGGTCAATAGATTACTAAGTGATTCCAAAAGAAGAAATTGACAGGTGTTTGACATTTTGAAATAAAAGAAAAATATTTTTTCTTGAAGCTGGATGTTTGTTTCAAATAATTATCCCTTCAGAAGATATTTGCATATATATTAATAATGTACAGTACAACCTTCAGAATTCATAATTATGTATGTGTATCTGTATTTAGATATACATGTACATGTGCTTTACATGTATACTGAAATGGAATTTCAAACAATTATGATATATTTTTGTATGTTTTGTATATTGATTAACAAACAGAATAATGCAAGGAACTAACATTGAATTTCTCTCATATTTATACCTATAAGAATATCAACTTCAATTCAGTACAGGTATTTATATCTATGACATGGATTTTTTTAGTTGTAGTAAAGATGTAAATTAGGTTATCTTGAATTAGAAATCACATTACATAACTGTATATATTATTAATGAATTTGTGCACTCTATCTTGTAATATATAGTGATTCTTTTATGTGTTCATCTAATAGTCATGTATTTATAAAGCAGACCAGTCATTAAATTAATTTTCAATATTATTGTAGTGTGTTTTCATGTAATTATCTTCATTATAATTTGAATGTTTACAGTTACTTTTGTATGATAAAAATAGTCTTAATCTTCAGATACGTTCATACATGTATAACTGCGCAGTTAAAATAGTGTAAAAACATATACAGTAAAACTTGTTTAGTACGAACACGGATATTGCGAATTCACGGATATAGCGAAGTCATCTTGGATCCCCAGCTATATAAATTAAATGAATTTCTTATACGGTTATAACGAATTACGGATTTAGCGAAGTAATTTCATAGGTCCCAGCGACTTCGTTATAACCAAGTTTTGATGTACCTGGTATGGAGTAGATAGTTTTTGATAGGTCTGAATTAAGCAAGAGTTTTCCTCGTTGGTCGCCATATTGGAGGTTTAATTATAATGCCAAGTACTCCTTCTTTACTCACTAAATTCAACATTTTATACTGAATATTCTGAGGTAATAGGCATTGTTTTTTGAAGTCTCCTTTATTTTATATTTTTTTAATTTCATAATGATTTACACCTTAGTATTTCTGCTACACCATCGTAAATTTGGTAAAATTAGGATTACCACAGCCACCTCCAATATGGCGGACAAGGGGGAAACAAGTTTTGTTAAGAAAAAACCCTGTCGAAAACCATCTATACACTGCTAGTATATATCTGAAAAACGTTCCAGAATATTAATCGTTATCCCAATATACAGTAGTTAAATTCCCATTTGGGAAAATAGGAATAGGATCAAATAAGATTGGATAAATAGAGGTCCCGTGTCTAAATAGATGTTAGTATGAAAAAGATTCCTGAATGTTTAACGGACTGAAATGTCAAGTTTCTATCTTAATTTGTAGCGTTCTATCAACAACTGGGAAATATCCGCATAAGTACAAATTTGGCAAAGGGATCGAAAGAAACCATCAATAAATTAGCTAAGGATATTTTAGAGCTCTTTTTACAGAAATGAATATGTGATTCCAATTCTATGTTAAAGCAATATGAGCTGCATGTTTGACATCGGAAAAAAGATATTTCAAATTTGTAATTAACTATTTCAATGACCGGAAAATAGAACGTTTATTAACTTCTGTTGGTCATATTGCTAAGGAAGAACTTTTTATAAGCTTTGCTTGAAGCAAAATTGAATTATTGTCGTCCTGTACAATAATGATTTCTTATATAATACTGTATATTCGGTTGAACAGAAATATTTCTTCTGAAACATTTTAAAACTTTATTTTGGTCTTATTGATCATAAGGGTTTAGATTACATACAGATTAATCATAATAACACATTTTACCAGCAAAATAAAATTCTCAAAAATGCAGCTCATATTGCTTTAATCTCTGTTGCATATAACATTGTGAAAATAGATTTTCCAGGGAGAAAAAATATTGTCTTAGACAGTGATGGACTTTATCTACAGTTGTTCACTTGTTCTCCGTCCCATTGATGATTTATCATTAAAACAACTCATCATATACCGCTGAAGGGGTTCAAGTTATAACTAAGACACTTACCCAGCACTCAGTGTCATGGAGAAGAGAGGGTTCTTTATTGTGCCAAAGCCTGTCGTGACACAGAATCTTAGTGTTTAAAAGCCTCGCCGAAAGACCGACAACTTTTCAGACAGCCTAGAATGTGGCAAAGGAACAGTTGCTACCTATTTTCTATCAACTTAGACCAGTCTTTGCCGGGATTTGAACCCATAGCATGATCTTCCGATTAGGGGGCTTTCCTTTTGTGTTCGGTGGATATGCTCTTTCTATTGTCTAGGAATTTACCTCATTAAAAGGTATAGTTAAAATAAAAAAAACTTAGAAAACTAGACAATTTCCATAAAAGGGAAGTATCTGGTGAAAATTCCAGAAATTCCTCGTAAAAAATGTGTCAAAAAATATGACATATAAAATTATACCGATCTGAGTGAATAATGGGGACTATATTTATACTAGCACAAGTGTAGATATCCGCACTTCATTTCCCGACACCCTTCTCTCAATAATCTTGCACGAAACAATATGAAAAATAACAAAAAAAGATTTTATTTAAAAAAAAATTGTTACTATAGACTCATTATATCACTATAAGCTGATGATTAGTTATTGTCAGAATCTTTAAATCAGACTCCGAAGGGACATGTTCTGGAAGGTACACCATGCGCATAGTTTTAACAAGAACGATGAAAGGACAGAAGTTCAAACGATCATATGTAATATTTATATAAGTTGATAATTTTTGTACAGTTGTTATTTCATCTTTTACCTGTTTTTTTTACCCAACATATAAAACATTCATCACAAACTTTTTATTAATCAGTGAGCTTTTCTGATTACATTTTGTCCGTCGTCCGTCCGTCTGTAAACTTTTTCACATTTTCGACTTCATCTCAAGAACCACTGGACCAATTTTACCCAATCTTGGAACAAACCACCATTTGGTGAAGGGAAATTCAAATTGTTAAAATTAAGGGCCAAGTCCCCTCATAAGGGGAAATAATAAAAAAAGACAAAGATAGGGTGGGGTCATTAAAAAATCTTTTTCAAGAACCACTGGGCTAGAAAAGCTGAAACTTATGTGGAAGCATCTTGGGGTAGTGTAGATTCTAAACTGTCCAAACAATGACCTCCGGGGTTGGTTGGGGCCGCAATAGGGAATCAAAGTCTTTCATAGAAAAAATATAGGAAAAAATCTTCTTCTCTGGAACCACTGGGCCAGAAAAGCTGAAACTTATATGTAGAAACATCTTGGGGTAGTGTAGATCCTAAATTGTTCAAATCATGACTCCCAGGGGTGGGGCATGGCCACGATAGGGAACCGAAGTTTTACATTGAAAAATATATTTGAAAAATTTGAATTTCTTCTCAAGAACCACTTGGCCAGAAAAGCTGAGACTTACATATGTGGAATCATTCTTTGGGAGTGTAGATCTTATATTGTTCAAAGCATGGCCCACGGGTGTAGGGCGGGGCACAGTAGGAGGCCCAAGTTTTACACTAAACTATATAGGAAAATTCTTTTAAAATCTTCTTCTCAAGAACTACTGGGCTAAACAAGCTAAAACTTATGCGGAAGCATCCCGGGATAGTTTAGATTTTAAATTGTCCAAATTATGACCCCTGGGGTAGGATGGGGTCACAATATGTATGACAAGGAAGGAATCTGATAAAGAACAGAATGGTCAAAGCTACTCAGGTGAGCAATGTGGCCAATGGGCCACTTGTTTACATTTCGCGTTGTTTAGCTGTTGCAGAGATATATAATATATCTCTAGCTGTTGTTATAACTATTGACAATGAAACAGAGCGGAGGTAAGTTAAAACTATCGTTTAATGTAACCTGTCAACCGTCTTGCATGTATTTAATTTGCTTCACTTTACCACTGTATTGCTCCGCCACAAAGAGGTTATCTTTTGAATTAACGCATAACGCCCACGGGTTGCTTAGATCACAGTTATCAATGTACCGAAGGAACTTCCCGTTTTTATCCAAGATATGCACGCAGTGGTTATTTGAATCAGCCGTCAGAATCTGACTTCGGCTGTCTGTAGCGATGCCATGAGGATAAAATGGTCCCTTGCCATATGATGGGTGGCCAGTATACCTAAATCGTAGTTTTCCAAACTGATTGACGACTACTACTGCACCAGTTGCAATGTCAGCAACACATACATCTAGATTTCTGTTCTCAGCAATGTATTTGATACTGCCAGATGGAAACAAAGGTTTGCCCTTATGATTATACTGAATAGTTTGTTTTACTGAAGAGCCGAAATAACGTACAATTTTTGATTCTGTATCACTAGCCATAGTAACAAGAAGGTCGCCAGAAGCATCAACACAAACATTTTCTGGAATCCATCCCATTAATCTAATAAGCTCTTCTATTTGCTTATTTTTCACTAAGTTAACAGTTCTTGTGACTTCATCGGTGTAGACAAGTTCTCCATATTCTGTAACTGCTATTTCCCGAGGAGGGATCTTTGACTTGGTTTGAATTGACTTCAGTAATTTGCCCTGTAGGTTGTAGAGTTTCATGACTTTGCTGTTTCCACAAGTCCAAATTTCTTCATCACCCAGGCAGGTAACACTATTAAGATATTTATACCCAGTGTCTATGATGTTAATGACCTCTGGTTCATCAAGCAGTGGTTTGACAGGAGGACAGGATTCAGCTTCTGGCGTTTTCATTGTAGAGGCACGCTCTTCTTTAATAAAGGATAAGGTCGAAAGAGAACCAAACAGGTCCGAAATTAATTCCTTGTTGACTTTCTCAAAAGAGAAACTTGGTACAGCTGCTGTAACTTTAGGAGGCAATGTCCTGAAGACAGCATTGCTGGATTTGTATGTAGTTACTAAGGAAATGTCATTAGAATCTAGCATTTTCTTCAGATCTAGAATAAATTGCTTTGCTTTAGAAATGTTCCGATTAATTTCGGATTCTTTTTCCTTGAGAGCTTCCAGGTGCTTCTGCTTCATTTCTTCGATGTTTGATATTTTATTTTTCTCAACTATGTCAATCACTTTATGCCACTCTGCTCCTTGCTTAGTGACATCTAATGTTAATTTTTTGTAGTGATTTTCTGCGCTTTGTTTTTCTTTTACGATGTTGATCGAAATTTCTTCATATATAGGGCATATGGAATCTTCTAATTCTTTGATATCTGTATCAATGTCCTTTTGCCTGGATTTCAATATTTCCAAAAAATGTTTCAACGTGTGGCCTTTGTGGGAGTTGGACGAAAGGCAAAACGAACACGCAGGGCAGTTACAGTCTTCACAAAAAAGTTGACAATGATGTTTTATATGAATTGTGCACTCAGGAAAGATAAGTGTTGATCCTCGATCCTTAAATCTGACCACTTTATGTTCTTTAGATAAATCAGAGAGATGCTCTCCTACACAGGTCTTACAGAGTTTGACATGACAGAAGTCACAGTGCATTGAAGGAAGAGGAGTTTTACAAAGATCACATCGCAAAACATCTTGTGCGCTACATTTGGAATCCATAATTAAAATTCATTCCATGGGTCATCTTGAAAGAAATAATATAAATGTAATATAATAATATAAATGATTTACAGAAAGAATTTTTGGTCAATTACTAGGGTTGTTAGATAGGTTTTCGAAGGATTCTTCTTGTGGGCGTGCTATTTTTGCGAAAACAGATGAAAAGACTCTATATATTTTTCTATAAATATTTGATGTTTTCCAATGATATCTAAAATATACATCTTTAATACTTATTTAAAAAAAAACATGCTTCACGGAGCATGTCACTTATTCCACGATAACATTACTATAAGTTAAAATAAATGTCAATGCTGTAGGGCATAAAGATTTTGATCATAATTCCCCTTCCGCTACAATATTCATGAAACATCATCTGACGAAATTCTGAGCTTTATAGTAAAAACTTTGATATAGGCCTACCATGAAATTTTAATAACTTTTTCAATATTTTTAATCTAAAAATGTCTTAAATTTTATATCAGTGATATAAAAAAATGAACTTACGTGATATATCGTAGAAATGATGTACGAGGAAGTGAACAATAAAAGCACAAATGTTGTATTATATTTATATACTTATGTTTCATTGTGAAACGTTGCCGGAAAAAGCTAATTAACCTCTTTAGGATGGAAACAAGTAGATTCAAACAAGAGACTCCATATACTAGTGTTTAAGATAAACTCAAGCGCATACAGCTCAACACACGTTTTAAACTCACATGGTTTTTCGCACATATTAAGGTCACATTGTTATAATGCAAAATTGTGTGACGTGAGAACAAAATATATTTTAAAATGATTTATAACTTAAATTTGATCATATTCCATTACTTTAAACATAATTCACACATAATAATCAGTAGGATTTTCATATGTTCTTTGATGATATATTATGAGAGTTTCCAAATGGATTTTTTATGGTTTTTTGTCAAATGCAATCGTTTTTGTATCTGTTCATTTTAAAACACACTTTTGCCTTGCTCAAATACAGGAACAGTGCAGTTCATGTAGCTTCTGTATTGTCTGTACAGTAATATGACACTAAGGCGAGAGATGATTGAAGTATTTCTCATTTGTTCGACTGTTATAAAGATATCATTTTTTCAGGTTATCTTCCTGCAATCTAGCATCATAAAAGATCCCTTCCAGCGCAAATTTTTAACGTCTCAGACCAAAGATGTAAAATAATTTTCTTTTCAATGTTTACATTTTACTATGTTGAAAGATACGCAATACTTTATTATGCTATCCTTTCACAAGATTTTTTATGCAGTTTTGTCATTTTTCGGCGCTGCATTTCCACAAAACCAAGATAAGTAAGGAAAATGTGCACCCTACTTAGAAAAAGTGCTCATCAGGAAGAAGTCCATGAACTTCAAGAATTTCAAATAAATATTATGAAAGAAAGCTTGATTAATTAATTTGTAAATACCTATGATAGATTTATACACATTTAAGATCATGCAATTTATTAACAAATTCACTTTTAGAATATTGACTTTTATAACTTAATTTAAATAATGATATTATACAATTATTCCCTTTTGTTGAATATGGTTTGTTATTCACCAGAAAAATATTCATATTGACCAAGGATTAAAACGACACCACTTTCATTTACTAACTTCCGTCGTTTAAAATAAATGCCAAGATTATAGTTTGTCACCTCCGTGTTTTTCTTTCCGAGTTTCGCCTTTTAATATTTTTCTGGTGAAAACAAACCATATTCAACACCAATTTAAATTGTATAATATGCACCTTTAACATGAAATATTTAATGATAAAAGGGTTATGTCTGGTACTGAAACTCTGGTACTGGTAATTTTAAGTTTTATTTCAAGAAAAATGTGACTTTAATTTATGCAAAAAACCATGTGAGTTTTAAAAGTGCGTTGAGCTGCATAGAACTAATCGTTTTTAATATTATAAAATCATGTATAATTTTATTGTATACAACAAGTGTCACAAGTGACATTATTTCAATGTTAAATATTAGCTGATTGTACAGGCTGGTACTGGTAAGAGTTATAGTTATCTTTATTTGGGCATTAAGAGTTATCGTTTATTTCATTTACGCACTATTTGCCACTGAGTTGTACTTGTTGCTATTTTCTCAGAACGTAAACTCGTCGAGCCCGTTTGGTCAGATAGTTATACTGGGTGTTGTCTAGTGTTCGTCAGATGAGGTCTGAACCCGGGAGTTATACTTTACCCATGTTTAGTGATCTTGCGTACGTCTTTTATATATACTGGGCAAAATAAGGTAGGGATCATATTTTAAGACAAGAATAATTTTTTTATACCCATGAATTTATGTGATAACAAGGCTAAAGTAGTTTTAAAAACATGTCATTAACATGATTCGATACTTAAGCCACATGTGTTTATTGAGTTTTGGGACATATTGGTCAAGAAAGTACGTGGTGTTAAAAAAGTAAGTGGAAAAATGGAAGCATAAAAGTATCAAAGAGGGTTTTCTTTAGTGAACATAAGGAAATTTCAGTATATCTGGCCAGAACTAGTGATAAGACGCTATTAGGAGGCATATGAGTGTGGACGAACACTCCATGGTAGCATGGATGCTGGAAGCTGGCCATGGCAAAACGCAACTCACGTTGCAGAAAGATTTTCTCTTTCCAAAAGCGGAATTAACGGTTATGGAACCGATATTTACAGGCAGAAAATTGTCAGAAAAGGCTAAAATCGGGACTTCCAAGGTGTACTGCAGTCCGTTAGGATCGTTATTTGGCCAATTTTACTGAGACGCACCGCTTCCAAAGTGCTCTTAAGCTTAAAACTGGGCATCAGAGAGCAACAGACAGACGGATTTCTGCTCAAACAGTTTAAAACAGACTTCACAAAGCAAATCTCATATTTAATTTGATGATCCTTAACTTTTTTGTCCAGTATATATATATATATATAAATATATATATATATATATATATATATATATATATATATATATATATATATATATATATATATATATATATATATATATATATAATATATATATATAGGGGTGTGCAATATTACCGGTATATCGGTATATTGCGGTATTATCCACCACGATAATATATCGCGATATGAAAATCAGATACCGGTATTTCACGATATTTATAAAAATATATAAAAACCTCCTTTATTGTAGAAACTGTTAAAATAAAACTGGAAACTTCTAAGTCTTCTTCCTTCTCCGTGAAAGAATTCTTGGTCAGTTTCGTTCGGGAGAGAGAAAGCGAGAGGAGTGAGAGGGGGGTGGAAGCTTTTAATTCACTGTTGCAGTTTTGAATATCTTACTTTGAAATAAAATTACTAATTTATAAGACTTTAAAATAAAATTTATAAGGAAGAAAATATATAAAACATGTTTACAGGGTGTATACCATATGCATTGCGGTTCTCAAAATCTCACATTGAATCTATAGGATCGACATCGCGGTGAAATGTCAAGTTCAATATACATGTACATATTACAAGTAAATGGTCATCCATGTTTTCACTTGTAGCAGTGTGGTTTTAATTATTTTTAATAACTTTCATGCCATTTTAAACACCTTATGCTATAGTAGGAGCATGTATATATTAAAACAGGCCATTTCCTGATTGTACATCTTGATGTGAAATAAGGTCGGGTTAGACTAAATTACCAAAACGCACGAAAACAGGTCACAATTTCTTTCTGGTTTTTTAAATTTCATTTTGTAACCACAATAAAATTATTTTCATATAGGCCTAATATGTATATTGTTTTAATCTTTAATAATATTTTATGCTACTTCATTAACCCCCCCACCCCCCACCCCCCAAAAAAAAAAGAATTCAATGAAAAAAGATTATATAATCTGTAAAAATTTTTATTTCAATGTGAAAATTCTCCAATAGAGTTCATCTTGTTTTACTATTTTACCTAGAATTTGATGTAAAGTAAAGTGTTAATTTGTTAATTTGGTGTGCAACCAATGTCTTATCCCTCCTCCCGCTTTTAAACTTAAAGATAAATTCAAATAGTCTTTGAACTTGACAGCATTTCAAACATTCTGCTCAAATTTTATTAATGATAATAAATCTACAATATATTGCAATATATTGCAATATTCAAAGTAAAATATTGCAATATATCGCAATATGGATTTCCTTCTCAATACCCAACTCTATATATATATATATATATATATATATATATATATATATATATATATATATATATATATATATATATATATATATATATATATATATATATATATATATATATATATATATATATATATATGTAACCCATGCTGTGTGAACTTGGGTGTGTTCTGTATCCCCTGCTGAGTGATCTTGGGATTCAGCGATGTTTATAGTGGCGTTGAGAGCACGTCCTGGGGGCCGACAGTTTGTTTATCTTGTGTAAAATGCCAATGCTCAGTAAGTTTTTACACTTTATAATATTTTTGTTGTACGTTTTAAAGAGCAATATTCTATGTAAAACTGTTAGCAATATAGCGAGAATGTATATATTGACGCTCTAATTCATTAACTTGTTAAACGGCAAATATATCTTTTCTTTCGTTATTTGTTTGTACAATCTAGTATATGGAACAGATACAATGAAGCGCATTGAAGTGGTAAAATTTTCCATTTGGATGAAATGTTCTGAGTCATGTATTGAACCTCAATTATTACAGATTGGCACGCCCATTTATTTGAACTAACAAGTCATATTTGTCGTAATGTTTTAGGACAACCCGCTCTTTGGGACAAGCAACATGAGTTTCACTGAAATGGAGATTTTTAAAGTTATAAGAGAGATTTAGAAAGTTCCAGCTTCTGTAAAACACGTATTGCAACGAGTCTGTAAATAATTATGAGTTTATCATGTTTATTGGAATTACCATAACACATGTATTTGTCGAACACGTGCTTACTCTGTGTTTATGTAGACCGTCATTTTGATTGGCTATTATATTCGACAGGTATTCGACAGGTATTCGAATGAAGCATTTGACGGATTTTTTCCTTTCTAAAGAAATGGGCGTGTCATTGTATGACAATCAACGTTCTAAAGATAGCTCAAAACGTTCCATTCAAACGGGAAATTTTACCACTTCAATGCGCTTCATTGTATGTGTTTTAAATATTTTGTATAGAAAACCCTTTAGAAATTGTAGGTGACCAAAATTGTATATTTTAAGTAATAGTAAGATCATACGGAGAGAAATCTTCGTCATGAAGAATGGGCGGAGCGAAGCAGAGCCCATTCTTCGTGACGAAGATTTCTCTTCATATGATCTTACTGACTTAGAACAGAACCTCAGCCAATCAAATGAATGGATTAGAAATAAACTCCTCCCACGGCTGTGTCCTATATAATGCTCAACTTGACCGCTCGTTGTACATATCGAGCACGCAATCACTATCGAACACACGCGGTTTCAGAATGGACTCCAACGCAGTCAGGTTAGCATGAGATTATATGAAATACATGTAGCTTGAATCAGGCACGTAGCAACAGGGGGAGCATTTTTTTCTTTCGAAAATGACCCCCCTCCTTTTTTTCACTACAGTATATGAATATGAAGGTAATTTAATATTGTACAGGGGCGAATGGTACTGGAAGAAATTAGAATTGAAAAAAAAGTTCAAAAACGATGT